CCCATCCGGGTACGGGTCTAACGTGTCATCTCACCCCTCCTCTCTAAGGTAAACCTCGATATTGTATGATAATATGTAGATGATGTCGAGACTGACAGTTTGGCTGTCCCAGTGTGATTAATTTGTACGGAGGCAGTTGGTTCTGAATGGATTGTTCTAAATGCCATTCAATTTAAACGGGCACATTATTTTTATCGCATCTTTACAATTTGTTACTGTGTCATATTCTACTTTATATTTTTAATAAAGGTGATCCAAATGTTGAACAGTCTGTACACGGCATTTGACCGCAAAATCGAGAAATACGACGTCTTTAAGGTGGAAACCATTGGAGACGCGTACATGGTGGCCTCCGGTAACTATCACTCGGTTAACATCGTGTCATTCCGTAGCTTGCACTATCACTCGTTTAACATCGTGTCATTCCGTAGCATGCACTATCACTCAGTTAACATCGTGTCTTTCCTTAGCTTGCACTATCACTCGTTTATCATTTTATTTACTTTTCAATTACATTTAAAGGTTGGAATTTGTACTCCTTTAGAAGGTGGTCTGTGAATGATGTGTAATCCTGTGTTATTTATTATATTTTATGTAATAAAAGTAGTTTTGTGTCTATTTATTAATCTATAAATTTGTTTGTTTGTTTGTTTGTTTGTTTTGGATCCGTTTATTTATTCATTTGTTTGTTTGTTTGTTTCAATGACTATTAATAACCTTTATTACTTTAACAATGTCAAAGGTTTGCCATGCCGGAACGGGACCCGTCATTCCTATGAAATCGCCATCATGTCCCTGGACCTCCTGGACCACATATCTCAGCTGGAAATTCCCCACATGCCCGACGAAAAGTTTCGCCTCAGAATCGGCGTGCATACAGGTGCAGTGAAGATCAGATCTAATTGTCTAAAAGTTTATCCTGGAAACTTAATTTTTACAACACATTTTTACTGATACGGCAAATACATATACGACAGCCCGATTCTAGTCAAATAATTGTCTTCATTTCTTTTGAATAAGTTAAGAGTGATTTAAGGGAAAATAAACTCCATACGTTGAAGGTAAAATATGTTTAATGTTGTAAAGGCACATGTGTTTGTCATTCAGGCCCGGTGGCCGCCGGTGTGGTGGGATTAAAGATGCCGCGATACTGCGTATTGGGGGAGACTGTCAGCATCGCCTCGCGCATGGAATCCCTGGGACTGCGTAAGTACCGACTCATTGTTGTAAAAATAATCAAAAATTAATAAGAATTGAAACTGCTGGCTACAGGCATGAACCCCAACTTTTTGATTAAACCGTCAGAAATATTCTGCCAATATTATTACCCAGCAAACACTTAACGTTATTACAACGTTACCATAACGTTAATTTTACGAAAAAAAAACGTTATGGCCACGTTATGGTAACGTTATAAAACGTTCTGTGTTTGCTGGGTATGACTGTGATACAATTATTTACACTCATTCTATTATAGAATATTATTACATCGTTCTAGCCAATAGGATCCACATCAGCATTACCACGTTTGACGCGCTGAGCAACCTTGGAGGATTCCACATGACAAGAAGGCATAAGCTTGTTAAGCAGGTAGTTTTAAACCCCATTTATCCCAATTAAATGGTATGTTTTTCATTTTTTTATTCTTGATGTATTATTGATTCTTTCCTTTTAATTTTGATTACATAGTGTTTCTGAATATATTTGTGTGTTCGTTTCTGTTTTGCAACCACGTTTTCCTTTCCTTTCACGTTATTCCTCATCGTTAAAATCAAACATTTTTGTTCAAAATTTACCAGGCAAATCCAATCTTTCACTGCAAGAAACTTAATTCACATTTTATTTATCCGGTGCATAGCTTACTCCCTGTTTTTGTTAATAGGAAACAAGCCTTTGTTTATTTTTTTCAAATCTCTCATTCTCGTTTAAGTAATACTTCTCGCCCTTAGGATTACAATTGTTTTACATATTTAGCATAAGCAGTCTTTCTGGCCCAGAGCCATATTAATTTTGATATAGTACCATAACAAGGCTGTAATGTATAACAAACCGTGGTTACCATGGAAAAGGGGATTCTGTTACCAAGCAATGAAAGAGGAAAACGTCTTTTTCCGGTAGAGTGAAGAAAAGTTACAAATGTATAGATTCTACTGCTTCACCTTAATTTCCGAGACAGGAAGAAGCTATGTAATGAGAGTTAAGTATTTATGGAACAAAAATTACTGGCTTTTCCGGGAAATATTGTCCCCTTTCTCTTAATCACCAAGCAGTGCCATGCGCAAAACTTTTGAAAAATATTTTTCTTAACTCGTTTTTGAGTTTTGAATATCATGTGCGCTGTAGATGTCGTCAAGTTAATGGCTTATAGGCCTTCATTAATTGCAAGTAATAATTAGGCAGAATCAAACAAGTAAAAAACTTACCGAGTTATTGACTGCAAATTGAATTTCCTTGAAAGCCAACAAATGTAGAAATTGTTTTCGTGTTAAGAAAAAAAAATGTCAAAGTCACATATTGTTTTTTTTTTGTTTTTTTTTTTTGGTCGGTTAAATTGTAAGCTTTTACCACGTGTATAACTCATGCAATATGAGTTTTGGGTGTAACACAATATTTAAAGAATTTCTAATGAAAACTAGGCGGCTCTTAGAGATTGCCTAATAAGGAAGTACATCTACTGAATGGCGGAATGAAACATCAGAATGGAAAATTCTGGTAATCATGCAAAAGGCAATGTAACGAAAACAAGTAAATGCGTGATCGGTGCGGAGAAATTAGTATGAAAATTAGGATACAATATATCTTGAATCTTAAATGAAAATAAGTTGATGAATAAATGATTGAAAGCTCCAACTCGTCGTCGTCACCAATGGATGATAGAGATGGCGTCTGCTGAATCACTGCCGTGACAGTAGAAATAGAAATTTAGAAGAACTCGAAAATGGGTGTAAAGATCAATAGTTTTGGATATGGTATATTTTAGTTACCAAGGGCAAGCGCTGAAATGTCCATATTATTTCGTTTTTCGCTATACTAAAGTCTAACGCGTCCTTAAGCTCAGTTAGGTAGGCAAATGTAGGGATCTACAACGTTTATTTAATGATGATTAACGAAATGATAAAGCCACACTTACCAGTAACAAGATGAGAGCATTTATCTAAATTTTTCTGATGATTATTAGCTCATTTGATTGAATGAATAGTTAAATAAATATAATGTAAATATACTCTATAGAAAACATCACCCTTCCTTGGATAAATTAGGAAAGAAAGAAATTGATTAAATATGAGATTAATTTGCTATCTATTTGGCGATGTCCACCTATTTCGCCAAGTCCTTAGAGAAGGAAAAATAACCCTTTAACCAATAATGTACACACAATATGATAATGATCGATTAATTTATAATGAAGTAATTACACCATTGATTGAAATATTGATTGAGATATCCTGTTTCATGTTGGCAGAGCGAGCACTTGGTTTCCAGTGCTGGGAAGGGGGACACCACCACATACTGGCTCCTGGGGAGTGACCACTTCAAGACACCTGGTGGTGTTTCAACGCCCAAGTACGATTCAAGCGATGTTGAAGGTAGGTTGAAGGCCGCAATGCAATTTTAGCAACGCCAACCACGGTTATGTTTTCACTGGTGTCTTTTTATGTGCGTCTATATTTGTCTGTTTGGCGGTTGAGAATAGGTCTAAGCAAGTTAGATTTCAATGACATTGTCTGGATAAACTATTATTCAGGAGAGAACAGATCTTACAATGTCAGATGAATCCGGACTTCTTAATATTTTTGAAAGAAATTTCATTTTTTATCCTTTTCGGTAATCGATTTTCCTTGAAGGAGATCTTCACTCTTGCGTTGGTCTGTAGTATTAGGCTACCGAAGTTTCGTTTGGATATGCGCAAAAATACCTCGAATGTTGTGTCATTTTGCGCAGCTAACCCACTTCCGGGAGCAACCTCGCCATCTGTTTGCAAGGTTATTCGGACAGGAATGGCACTCTATATACATTTTTCAGGGTTTTGGATAAACTACACAGAAAACAGAGTCAAACTGCAGAGGAAAAGCAAAGATACTGTAGAGAGTAGTCACGTACTGAAGTTTAGCTACGACAAATATGCCCATGTAGTCAGCTAAAGTCACGTTGCGCAATATTTAACGTGCCTCCAGAAGTGACGAAATCTCGCAGAATACCGCAAAATTCAAATGTCACTTCAGTAGCCTATTGAACAGGGGTTGACCAACTTATTGCGCCATGTTGCTATGATAAGCCCTGTCCATTGGATAAAATTGTTATCATCTGGACTGGATAAAGTTGTGGTTCACAAAGGCTGGATAAACAGCATGATAGGCCTAACTGTCCAGCGGATAGGCCTACATAATTTACCAGAGACAGTTAACCGTACGATATTTGGAAAATAAATAATAAGGGAGTACTCTGGGATATTTATTTGGAAAATAAATATCCCAGAGTACTCCCTTATTATTGTTGTTTGTTACGCGCTGTAGGTTCATCCGTTCTTATGCGTATTGCTTCATTATCATTTATTATTTATTTATAACTTCTCGTTGTAAAAAAGCATCCTTTCTTAAAGAAATCTTATCCAAAGAAACATGTTTTCAGGGCCAAGTTGCTCTAAATATGGAGAATCGGAGGAAGTTCCTCAAAATGCGTTCATAGAGAGGAGAGGGAGCATTACCTACCAAGAAGACGAGTAACATCACATTTCTATCAGGACAATAGCGTCACATCATTACCCGGACATAGAGTGGCGTCACATCATTACCTGGACGAAGAATGGCGTCACATCATGACCCGGATGAAGAATGGCGTCACATCATTACCCGAACATAGAGTGACGTCACATCATTCCCGATATGAATTTCTGGTTTGAAATTGAGTCTTTTTAATTTGACGGATGATTAATTAATGAGCATAACGTCAGTTTCTGTGTTGTAAAAATTTCTGTGTAGCACAATAGTGATTTAGTAACGATTGCCTCTAATACTGTCTGACACAATTCTGGATTGGTGGTGACAAATAGAATCAGCAATGATTTAATTCTGGACAAAGAGATGCGCGCGCGTGAACGCATACTGGAAATGGAACATTGACTTAAAAATGAGGCGGTAATCCAAAATACAGGGATAGGTGTCGTTAATGACCGTCTAATATTCTCCTTGTTTAGTATTAGTAATTCAAAATGGTAATTTTTTCTGAGGTTTTTAATCGGGTTTTTCTTTTTAAAAGTAAAATTTGTGTCTTGTTTGAATTATTTTAATTCTCACTAAAGATGTACATCTTATTCGTGCATGCGTTATATTATAATAGTAATAATTATTATTGTTATTTTTTTTGGACATGAGCCTTTCACCACACTCACTCCCCCGTACACACACACTATCTCCTTATACTCGCTTATATTAGTTAATTAACGGCCATCTACTTCATAAATAATATTATTCATTATTATTATTTCCTGTCCCTTTACCTCTCCACTTTTCAAATACCCCCTCCCTCCCCAACTCCTCCTCGTAAAACGCCACGCCCATTATTGAAACTGTTTTGGTTTTTTTTTTTTTTTCAATTTGAAAAATAGCAATATTTTGAGAAGCGGTGTTGTCAGCATGCAGTTTTTCACACCCTAGAAATAACGATTACACTGCCCCCTATTAGCATAAAAGGAAACTGCGCTTTTGCTGCATTTGCTTGCCTCAAGGACTACTTGCCTGTTCTGGTATTGATCCTTAATGCTAAAATGATCGATATTTGGCAACATGCGTATTGTACCAGTAGCAGCTGCCATGAGAGAGTCACTAATCGAAACAATTCTTGTGAGGAAATATAGATGGTATTGAATTTTTATAAAATTTGCAATATATTACGTTACGTATTTTGATTTTTCAAAGATAAGGATATTTGTTGGCGTTTACCCATTATTATGTGACCAGAAAGAACATTAAAGAAAGATAAGCAATTATAAGAAGAATCGGGATCCATCCATTTGTGTCACGTGGTCACTCTGTGTGTGTGTGTGTGGGGGGCGTCCTGTCGCCTGCCTGTAGTGCACATCACGAAGGTCAAACTTGCTTGGATATTTTTATTTGTATCTTACAGAAATATTTACAATTATTATCAAAATAATTATAATACTGATTTATTGAGCACAATCTGAATGTTTATGTATACAGTCTCTCTAACTACTAAGCATGCAGTATAGCAAACAATATTATACAAAATATAGTATGTATATTCACGTTTTCAAATATACTGTAATAGATAAATCGGGTTTTGCAAGAAACGTGTTTGACACCAATACTGTATTCTAATCTAAATCTAAAACAGTATTTTTTAACTCAAATTGTAGATATATATTGAAATATGAACAACTGTCAGGCATTTTAAACATTAATATAATCACATTTAACGCACTTTATATATCTGTATACGTAGATAAATGGGCATCATTTCTTGTTTACATTTTCTTTGCTAAAAAAAGGAAGACCGTGCAAAATTTGACAATATTAGTCGTGAATAAATATATATGTTACCATTCCATTTCTTTGTTTCTGTCACATTGCAGATTCATTGTTTAGTTGGATAGTTTCGTTCGTTACCGGTAAACATGGTTCTGTTTTCGGATAGCGCATGATGTCTTAACAAGGGAAATGTTAGTGGAAGAAAAATAATTGCCTTTGTTTTGTTTTCTTCAGTAATTAATTTGCACTTGTTGATTTGTATTAGATACGGTTTCTATTATCCTTCTTTGTTGCCATGCACTGATATCTATTACATTATTCCGGTGTTTCGTGGTTAATTCATTTCTGCTTTTAATTTTTTTCATTTATTCTATTTTGCCTATACCTAATTTGATCATTCGAAATTGTAATGATTTTGTCAATCATTCAAATTTAAAATTCACTCGATTTGTTGCCCCACGAACACCTGTATACGGACACAGTGATTGAAATTCAATGACTTAGAAGTAATAAAATAAAATAAATGTACATGTAGGCCCTTGTCACTTTGCTTGGTATTTTACCTTTCTTAGGGGGGGGGGGCTTTCACAAGTTTCAAACTTAGCTTCAAACTGCTTGGTCCAGACAAAATTAATGGGAAAACTGACCGTTTTAAGACATGATATAGGCACCTCTGTCATTTACCTACAGTATTCTCCTATATTTATACCTTATCAACCGCTCGAAACTTTCGCCTGGTTTGCGGCCTCTCATTGAATTTTTTGCCCAATTTCAATCCCCTTCAAAGATGGGGCTTTGGCAACATTCGATAGTCCACATGTATTTATGCAGGAGTGTAAATGAGGATTAAATATTGCTGCTTTTTTCGTCTGTTGCATATTTGTGACAGCGGGCCAAAACTCTCATTCAAGCAGTCGGAAGCCTGATGACGTAATAGGGACTTAACCCGTGACTGAAATATTATGCATTAGTTGAACCATATTTTCATAATGATTGGGAATAGGGATACATTAGAGATGCATTAAGCCAATAAAGTGTACATTTATAGAATATATATTATCGGAAATCCGTTACCCCTTGACAACGCAGGTGTGTCGTGGTTTAACCCTAATAATGTACGGTAATTTCTCGATCTTTTCAATGGAGAAAATTATGAATTTTACAGATAGTGTATTTTATAAATCATAATTTCTTATAATTAGAACATTCATATTGTGTAGTAGCAACAAAATTAAAAAGCAGAGTACCCTATAGTTCTGTTCTGTGCAGTAAAAACACCACACTTGCTATACAGAAATATAATTTTTGTGATAATAAAATAATGTATCTGAACATTTGATAATTTTTGCCCATTGAAAAGAACGAGTAATTACCGCAGTAAGGTGAAATGATGTTAAGACTTTGAGTTGATAAGGGATACTGTTGATGGATAAAAGCTACGATTACAGAAGAGCTCAGATTAAAACTTGGTTAAAAATATTAAATGCTTTACAAACTTGTCGTTACATCTGCCGATTAATCATAAATCCCACGAGAAGCGACCCCCCACCCGTCCTTGTCTCTGTGTTCATCATGTCAAATAAATAAAATAATTGACACCTAACGCCGTCGGTGCTTTATAAATGACTGTTCCATAAAACAACGATGGCTTAGGCCGTTGCAGTAACTTTCATACACTGTATGATACGAGTTCAACAATAATGAAATTGTATTTTGGACACAGCGGAATCACCTGCCACGCGATACTGATGCTCTGAACTCTGCGAAAAAATATGTCACAATCTCCAAGTCTGAAAATTTAAAGACGTATCGCAAAATTGTTCAATATTCTAAATAAGCTCATTGTGAATGCCATGATATTGACATATAGGAAACAAGGGAAGACTCGTAAGAGATGGAGGGGTGAGTTAGGAGTGCTGGAAAAAAACTGGAAGTGTGAAGCCCAAGACAGAATACACTGGAAGAAGCATGCTGATGCCTTTGTCCAAAAATGGAACACTTTACTGGTAGGCCCTGAATGATGGTGTTGATGAAAGCTTATTTATTAAACGATTCGGTGTTTTTGTTCTAATTTTTTTTCGATTGTTCTCAGAATAGTGGAACGGAAGTAATGGTCATAAAGGTGTCACACTTGATATATAATGCAAGGGACGTCACTGGTATATGGCAGAGCATTTCTGCATTTTAATATAGATACTTGGCTGTGGTTTTATTAGGTGATCATATCTTTTTGGGGGAAATGAGGACGTGTAAGGTAACGTCTGTACCCACTGGTCGCAAAGAAAAAGGAGTAGAACACGTCGTTAAACGTGAAGTACAAGTATATAATGTACCTGGTCAGCAAATGCCTCGTTTATTGTGTACACTAATGATCTCACAGGGGGCGTTGTGTATTATCATTATTCCTGTTTTTGTCCTACTAATGCATACTGGTCAATATCATTAAGATAATGGCAAAAAGAGCATTTGTATAACTAGGGTCATATCGTGGGATAATGAGAAGAATGGACGTAACACGCTCAAACCTAACCCTTGTCACCAAGGGGGGCTTTTTGACGATGTGCGTAATAACCTGCGCAATGAAGAGTTGAGGATTTTTGTGTTGTAATTACCTTCGTCCGGTTTTGACAATTTATGAGCCTTCTCGATGATGAGAGTTACAATTTAAATGGTCGATTCCAATGTTGCTCACAAGCTTTCAGACCTATTGTTTTTAATCCGAGAATTAAGTAAATCTGATGGAAAGTTGATCAAAACCTCCTGGGTGTTAAAACGGGATTTTCTAGAAACATGTAAGTATCTTTTTTTTTAATATTTTCCAACAACTTGTATTGCAATATATACGTTAGAAGGTATCATATTGTTTATTTTTGTCTGATCATTTCAGTATGAGTAATTTTTCTTCCAAAGCAATCGCAGTAGGTAATAATATACATTTCCCAAGTTACCTGCCTTAACAAAATGCCTTATTTTTATGTAGAAAGTAGTTTAGTTGTAAGTGTATACTTTCAGGCTGTTCGTGTCTTTGTCCAACATCGCAGTTATAAGTATGACATTGGTCAGCATATATATCTATTTGAATCACCTATTTTTGTACATTTTATGTGTTATAACAATCTTATTTCTCAATTTCGTCGAATACCTTTTTTAGGAAAGACCGACTCTGGGTTAAAATGACACTTGTTTTCCATAAAAAAGAACCGCTCAGAATTGTTTTCATTGTCGTATTCGGTCTACTGCAATATTTTTGGTTGTGTACAAGATATTACAGATAATTCTTAACAGTATCAACTGAATCCGTGCCTCTCCGTATATTTCAATAATCTCATTGCATATTGCTTTGTTGGAGGTCTGCACTCTTTCAGTAAGGTCTAATTTATTTATTTATAACCTCTATCAACATCATCAACATTATTCAAAATAAATTTGTTTTCACTTTGACATTTTGTGATCTTTGTTGGCGATGATAAACAAGCTGACACGTTGCTCGTGCATAAATGCCTCTTCAACAAACTAACCTCGCATGGGCGGCCATTTTCAAGGTACCTCCGTAAGTTATTTTACTTTTCGTCTGCCATTTATTCTAGACTATAACAGTGTACTTTTTTTTCTTAAGAAACCATTCCTCACCATGCCTCAGTTTATGAAGAATAAGGTGGCGTCAGTGGACGGCCGGATCTCCGTGCCTTCCCTGAAGAGTATGGCGGCCCTCAGCAACTCCCAGGTGTCTCTCAGCCAGTCCACCCTCGACCTCGCCGTCATGGAGATGCTGAACATAACGCCGCAAAATTCAAAGTTTTATTTTTGCGAAGGCAAGTGTGTGTTGTGTGTCTGGGAGATATTTTTGCGAAGGCAAGTGTGTGTTGTGTGTCTGGGAGATATTTTTGCGAAGGCAAGTGTGTGTTGTGTGTCTGGGAGATATTTTTGCGAAGGCAAGTGTGTGTTGTGTGTCTGGGAGATATTTTTGCGAAGGCAAGTGGGTGTTGTGTGTCTGGGAGATATTTTTGCGAAGGCAAGTGTGTGTTGTGAGTTTGGGAGATATGACTGAGTTGAGATTAAAGGGATAGCAACTGTTCACAAGCAACTGTTCCATATCTTACAATAAATACGTTGTAAACAGCTCATTGAAATATAATAAATTCTATTTTACCACCAAAAACGGTGGTTAACGCAGTTATTCTGGAATTTGTTCTTGCCATCACATCATGTGGCCTCCCTAGATGGCTACACTCTGTAACAATCTCTTTAGAGAATATTACAGAAGACCAAACTTTTTTGAAAAAAAAAAAAAAAACAGAGACCAACTTTGAATGTGGGAATGGATTCCTTAAATTGTCCTTTACCCCAGGAAAAAACCATTTTTGGCCAAAATGAACAGTTGTCATCCCTTTAATCACAAAGGTGTGTTTGGACAATTAGAATTGGATTGGAACATTGGGTAAATATGTAACCTAAATGGGACACTTCTCAAAGCCATTGTGCTTGAATTAAAAAAAGTTAAAAGATTAAAATACTGACGTAAAGTGATAAAATACAGATAGCTGTTTAAACATCCGTGCATGCCTGTGTGAGTGTGCAGTACGAATGAGATTGCATGTAATTATTATTATTATTATTATTAAATTTATTATTATTATATCAGGAAACCCAATTACAAAATCGGGAAAGCGTCGCCAGATGCAGAAAATGATTTTGTTCACCATGTTGCCGATCTTTGTCCTCCTCGGTCTCAGCGGCAGTTTGGCGGTACAAAAGGGAATGGAGTACGGCCGAGCCGTGGAACTCCTTTCGGTAAAATATCAGTTTATTTGGAAGAAAAAGTTAAATCTGCGACCCCAAAAGGATAAGCCCGTCGTGAAAATAAAACACAGTTATCCCTGGACCCTTATAAGGTATTAGGCGTTTACTAACATTACCCGCAGATCTTTTAGCAATAACACCCAAATTAACCACCAAACCCACAAATTAATATCCACTTACATGTACTTAACATCCTCATTTTTATTGTTAGATAATCCGACAGAGTATCGAGCAGGGGGAGCTGATAAAGAATCTTCAAGACGAGAGAGACTTAAGCGCCCTCTATGTCAGCTTGCTAGGGGACGAAAACAAGGACATTCTTGTACAGCAATATCCCATAACAGGTTTACTCATTTATTGCTTCAATAAACTCACAAACAATACATTTTCACATTTTCGATAAACGTGGGTCATCTGGCTTTGCTAGTCCTCGGATGCGCACATCTTAGATCAATTTTCTGAGAACGTGTCTTCAGTTAATGAAGAGGTATAGATAAGTTCATAGCCAAAGTATTACTAAAATGAAAGTGAAAATTGCATGTCAATTTTAAGAAAATCAACATATAAAATAATCAATACTAATTCTTAAATTGATGAAGTCCATAGTAGTTATGACATGAAAAAGTAGACATTTTTCAAATTACAAAGTTATGCAAGAATCTGCCTCAGAAAATGTTTAAGAATGCCTGTAGCTGTACCCCCTTCATTTTCATCACAATCGGATTATTTATTTATTTATTTATTTATTTATTTATTTATTTGAATGTTAAATCATTTCCAGACACTACACTCGTGGGGTTGAAATTCTGGCCAGAACTGGACACTCCATCTTCCGTTTACCAAACAAGGATGAAGTTTTTGAACCATCTGAACAGGCACCGTTACCAGCTGGACTCGCTGTACCCCGTGTACCACGCCAATGCCAACGTCCACGAGGAGATTTCTTTCTACTCAGACATCATTACCCTGCTTATCCGCTGGCTTTATCAGATGGCCACAGAGGTGAGTTCTTAGACGTGTCAGACCTTTAAGGATTAAATGACGTGCAAAGGTTATTTTTAATTGGGGTTTATTTTACTGCAATAATAACCAGCAAATTAGTACTTTAATCCAAATCCAATTACCATACAACTGAAGAGCATTGTATATAGGTCTCTTTCAGGTAGATGATCCAATTGACCCTTAATAGTTGATTAATCTCTCCGTGTCCATTTGAGTGACTTGATATAGGCACAATCAAAATGTTATATGTATGTTATCAGGATAATACTTCCTAAAGTGGTACTTTCAAAACAAAATTAATTTCGAATGGTTTCAGGTGGGGTCGGGGGAAGTCTGGAAACGGCTGGTGGCATCCATTGAGCTCACCACGGCCAAGCAGCACCTGGGTATTGAGCGGTCCTTGGGTGGGCTCTTCTTCGCTCAGGGAGGGTTTGAGAATCCCGAGGAATACATATTGTATATCAAGCATCAAGATATTGCAAACTCGTCCATCTACTCTGCAATGAGGTACTTTTATATGGTAGAAGAAATGTTTGACGAGTCCCTGATGTTCAACAACTCGGTATTTGCGAACATTCAGAGCATGCGGTACATAATCACAGAGAAAGCGTTTATTCCCCGAGAGCCGGATATTGATATGGGCCATTGGTGGATTGGCAACATGAGCGTCGAGATTAACACCATAGCCCAGATCCAGCGGACCTTGGCCATGGGGATGTTGGACAGCCTTACTGAGAGGCAACATAAGGACGGAGTGAGCTTGGTCGGAGAGTTGTCAGTAGTTTCATTCGTCCTGTTACTCTTTCCCATCATTATCAACTCGGTGTATGCCCTGACAAGCCAGATGCAGAGCTATTCAATCACCCTGGCAGCCAGGTAAAGTAGTCATTATCAGGATAACAAATGAGCAGTATTATTGGATTGGAATTAATTTTCGACCGGTATTCGTGACATTTAGGTTAAAGAAAAAGTTATGTGATTAAATGTACTCAGAAATGAAGACGGTATGTATTTCTTACTTAAATGACTATACGTTACAGCGTCAAGAATGTTTACTTTGACGTCTGAACTTGCGTGTACTAATGACGGTAAATGTTCTCATTAAATTCATAACTGTCACATTGATAAGAACCGTCTTGGAAACAGGCTCTCGTTAATTTTAGTGAAGCTGATTAATACATGTGAGCGATACTATTAAAGGCTCTAGTTAATTTTAATGAAGCTGATTAATGTCAGCACATGTAAGTGATATTATTTTGGGGAGGTGCATAACTGAGTGACATGTAGATAATACAAGCAAAAGCTCCTTTTAAGTCTTCGCTTTTTATGTTTTATTTTACAAAAAAAAATTCTATTCGTCACTGTTTGGTCCTTGAACTGCAATATTTACTTCGTGGTTACGTACCATGAGACACAAACAGATAATAATCAAGACAGACCCCTAAAAATGTTTTCAAGAAAAGTATTTTTAAATATTCAACTGTTTACTTTCCGCTTTTGAAAATGTTCCAAACGCACATTTTCTTTGTTTACATATCCTGCAAAATTAAGTTACTTATTTTTCCCAATTTAAACCTAAAACAGATAAAACCCTTCAAACATAAGTGCCTGATGGCGAAATTTCCTTCTGAAATGTACAGGAAGAAATGGCGGTCTAAATGACTGCCCAGTCATCTGGAACTACGGAGTTAAGAAATGGTATAAATATTAATTTAAGTGCAGGTACGAGTCAAAGATTGAGTACTGAGTAGGTGGGAATTTCTTTTTTTTTCCTTTTCATTTGGGAAAATTCGATTTGGCGGGAAAGTCCATGAATTTTTGCATATCTATGTTTTAGGACAAAGGCCTTGAACAAAGAGAAAAGAAGAGCAGAAATGCTCCTCTACCGTATGTTGCCGAAGTCAGTCGCCGAACAGTTACGAAAACATGAAGAAGTCTCCGCCGAAGTTTTCAAGGAAGTCACCGTGTTTTTCTCCGATATTGTGGGATTCACAGACATATCTTCAAGGAGTTCACCAATTCAAGTAAGTAGGAAGAAACAGAGAAAAGTTCCTTCTCAATCGGATTATATGCACTGAACAAATGTCTTAACGAATTTTACACATGCTATTCACCTTGAACCTGGGTATTCCTAAGGTATATCAAAAGATCAATATCTATAGTTATTATACTTAAACAAGGGGGCACAGGACAGAGTGAAATACATGAGAGTTCTACAATTTTCCTTGATTTCCACATTTTTTCATATCGATTTATACCTTTTCAGGTGGTGAACATGCTGAACACGCTGTATCTGTGTTTTGACGCTCGTATAGGACAATACGACGTGTACAAAGTGGAAACTATCGGAGATGCCTACATGGTGGCCTCAGGTAATGTGGCACTAGGGGGATTCCGTAATTTCATTCTCGATTACTGGGTTTAAATTGCTCTCTATCAGGGTCACAGAGACAATTGTTTTTTACAGATAATAATACTCTGGCCTCTGGCAAGTGTAGGGCTATGATAACTATTGCTGAACTGCTAACGTCAGGGAAAAGAAAATATCGGTATATCTTTTAGAACACAGTACAATTATATATAAATCTTAATTGTTGTATAAAGTAAACCACAGAGTAATGACAAGACGCCATTCCTTTATGAAGTGGAAAATGATAAATGCAATACAGTATCAGCTAGGTTTTATGTGGTTGGAAACGGCAATCATTCTGTATTGAAAGTATGCCCTCTGTTCCGAACAAAAAAAAATGTTCGTAAAAGGCATGAATGCTGAACAATCTTTCTGTAAAGTACGTCCCTTATGAACTCTTTACTGATGATGATTCATTCGTTTTAAGGGTTACCCGAGAGAAACGGTAAGAGCCACTCTGTGCAGATCGCCACCATGGCCCTGGACCTGCTGGACCACATCAGTCAACTGGAGATTCCTCACATGCCCGGACACCAGTTCCGCCTCAGGATCGGCATACATACGGGTAACTATTCATACGGGTAGTTGTACATACGGGCAATTGAACATACGGGTAATGTGACGTGCTAGGTATGGGTAGCTATATATATGCAAACAGGAATTTGTGTGGAGGGGACCATTCCCATATCCTTATCGTGCTAGCTGGATCGATCTAACTCCCCTGGAATGCTCGCTATATTGCATTCAGTTTAAGCGGCTTAAATGTCTGGCACTACCCTTTGTAATTTAAAGTACTTCGGAAAAGTCGGGAAAACTTTGTGGTCCATAATGCTGTTCAGGTTGCTTTGCGAGGGGCCGTGTCAGACAATTAAGCTGATTACATTGACTGCGCCTTAGCGAGAATCCCCGCTGAGATAGACAATTTATACATGCAGGTACCAGTAACTCTTCGCGTGGTAGCTACCCGAGTGCACTCAAGGTAACTTGCTCATCTTTCTCATCTGGCAAGATCTGTCATAAACAAAAAACAAAGAAAATCGATTAACTAGCGTCATTATAATTTCGTCTTCGTTATTGATATTCCCATTACAGTAAAAGACATAAGATCTACCTATCAGTATATAACAACTAGTATATATTTTAACTGTCAGTTTTCATATAATACTGGTAACATGATGCTCTTCTAGGACCTGTTGTGTCCGGCGTTGTGGGACTGAAGATGCCACGGTACTGTTTGTTTGGTGACACTGTCAGTATTGCCTCCCGTATGGAGTCCCTGGGACTGCGTAAGTACCCAGTGACCCCTAAAGTACATGGGCCGTTTCTCTTTATGCATTAAGAATATACTCCCCGACTTTCCTTCTGCGAAATCAGTAAAAAGACCGCTTGCCAAGCGTTAGGCATTTTGCAATTGATTTTACTTGGACCGTGATAGAATGTGCGCAGTGTTATTGTTACAGATGTTATATCCTCTCATTAATTCTTTCAGTGTGTAATCACAAAACATGTAGGATATCAATAGATGATGACACTGTTTGATACTCTTTCAGCGTCTAAGATACACATAAGTCAGTTGACGTTTGAAGCTTTGAGTGAAATTGGTGGATTTGTGATGAAAATACGCGAGGAGAAAGTTCTTCAGGTAAGTTTTCCTGGCTATTTTAATACCGTACAGTGCACTACATGTCCTGCACAAATACACGTAGTGCGTAAGATTACGTGAAAAATGCAAATAGAAAAGGAACACGTTTAAGAAATCTTTAACAAGACTTTATTTATTAGATACATTTTACTTGATAGTTAATGAATAAAAAGCGTTCCTAGTCTGGGATCAGTATGGTCAAGTTTCATTGCAGAATACACATAATTTGTTCTTTAAATCTCAGAAAGTGAAAGAAAAAAAAATTATTTATTCTCCTTTCGAATGCACACTGTGGTTTACATGTATTTAGGCATTGGTATGTTTTTCTTCGTTGATCAATTGTTTCCAGAACGAGAAATTCATGCGACTGACCTTGCGCGGCAAATCGGACACTTACTGGCTCCTTGACCGGACCGGAATGCGGCGGAAGACGCTGTGTCGTCAACCGGATCAGTCCAGCTACAATTCGGATGACGGATGCTGGCAGTCACCCCCCGCGAGGAGGGACCATAACGTTGACCAGCTTGATTACTATAATGGTAAATATGATGGTTTACTCGATATGATATAGGCCCCATAACCATTGTGACAATAAACATCTTCTTAGCTGTTATAAAGACAGAGAGTGTGAAAAATCCGATTTTTCTGATAACAGTGATACACAGATAATAAAACCATGTTGGAGAAAAAATGCAAACTCGCAGTTTTCCTCCACAATCCAAGGTCGGAGTCTAGATTATGTTACACTGAACCATATATAAAACACATAGGGCCTATTCAAAACGCAATGTTCTCTGTTACAGGTCCTCAGGATTTCGAAGACCATATGGAAGACCACATGGAAACGTATTCTTTCTACTAGACATGCTGCTACACCAAGAAAGGATCTTCAAGATGAGCACCAATTACCGCCTGAGCAACACATCGACGCTTTCCAGACACAAATCAATGCCTAGATACCAACGGTTATAAAAAATATCACGGATAGAAAAAAGAGCGAATTTCTTTTACGCTGTTCTGTAGTGTTGGATTACTGCAAGACCGGTTTATAATTTACAACACTTTTGTGTTTTGTTATTTTAAAAGGTAACACAACGTTCTTTATTAAACATATGTTTCTCTAGAAAGTAATTAAGTCTTGAGATGTATTACATTGTCAAATTTTATATCATCTTGCACTTCTGGCTCGGATTCAACGTATTGGTAGTGGCTGTTCACATATTAGCTTAATTTTTATTTCTATCAAATTACTTTTATTCATCATGTTGGTTTCGGTGTTCTTCGTCAGTGTTGATCATTTAACGGCGTGAAAGTAGGCGAAATGTGACACATAAGTAAATGTAACACATATGTAAAGTAACACATTTTCGTTTATCCACAAATGAAACATGGATAATGTACCCGATGGATTTAACTGTATATTAAAAGAGATTACTGTAGTTGTTGGAAACCTGAAAATCTCCGCCTTCTTCCCACTTTCAAAAACGTATGACAAAATCGTCAGAAAATTTGAAAGCTTTTGGTGAGAAACATGTTTGCTATATTTAAAAGTTATACTTTATTTTTAGTTCGAAAATCAGCATGATCAGGCCATTATTGTAGAAGTTATGCTGTTTTTTCACTTTTCAGCATATATGAAACACTGTAAACACAATATAAGAAAAACAGATTGGCCGATTTTCATGAAACTCACAGAAGTGATCAATCCTGCTAAAACGCAGGTTGAGTTCGAAAATCAGCATAATGGGGCCACCATTTTAGTAGTTATGCTTTTTTTTCACTTTTCAGCATATATGCAACACTGTAAACACAATATAAGAAAAACAGATTGGCCAATTGTCATTAAATTCACAGGATTGATCAATCCTGCTAAAATGCAGGTTGATTTCGAAAATCAGCATAATCGGGCCATTATTTTAGAAGTTATGCTGTTTTTTCACATTTCCTCAGATTCAATTCTTAGGCATGTTAACAGGCTTATTATTTAATTAATAAGATATGTAAAAGTGTTTGTTTGACATTTCCTGCATCTTTACAACATTGTTAGTTGATTTTGTAAAAACAATAGTATACTTGTTATCGTGTATTGTGTAATTAAGTTTCAAAAATGGAAATAAACTCATATCATTGCGGTTTGTCAGATTCAGTCATTCACCATGTTCAGAATCTCAGAATGGAAGAAATTGGACATTTAACACTGTTTTATTGATATTTTTCCCATCTCATCAATTTTTTAGTTGATCATATAAAAATGGCAGTAAAGTGTTAATTTTGTTTTATGTTCAAAAATTGTTAAAAATGTAAAAAAAAAACATTTCAGATCAGTGCTGTCTTGTTTCACATTTGCTCAGATTCAATTCTTAGGCATGTTAACAGTTTCATTATTTAATTAATAAGATACATTTTTTTGGGAAAATTTAGTTTTTCACATATTAGCATTTTCAAGGTGTGACTTAGAACCTCCACGGGCTTGAAGACCCATGCTAGTCACATTTTCTGAATATCCATGATACGTATATGTTATTATTAAAAATTGATGGTCATTATGCTGTTAACCATTATGTAATATTGCATCAGAATAGAAGACAACACAATTCTGGGTGCTGCTGCCATGATGACCATTATGGGAAAACCATGTTACTTATGATTGCCAAACTTTCAAAAAAGGAATACAGGACTAAAATTCAGTCTGAGTTGGAAAAGCAGTCTAATTGGCTTTTTTTTCTGAAAGTTATACATTTTCAAAGTGTGAACTTGAACTCCCATGGGCCTGAAGCCTTATGCTTGTTACGCATTTTACTTACATTGGTATTACCTGTTGAGCATAATTAAAATTTGATGTTGAATTTGCAGTTTAACATCAATGTACTTTTGCATCGGAATTGACAGTAGCCTATTTTGTGCATAGTTATTTCCTGCTTTTTGTCTGTACATTTGACAGCTTTGCTGCCTTGTTTTTTACTTTATTTAGCAAACATACATACATACATACATACATACATACATACATACTGCACATACATACATACATACATACATACATACATACATACATACATACATACTGCACATACATACATACATACATACATACATACATGTATATTCATTAGAAATTGGTTTCTGTGGAATATGGGATATAAAATAATCAAAGAGCTAGTTGTGAAAATAAAATGATGTATTAATTTACGTATTGAAAAAAGAATTAACTTAAAATTTTAGACTTAAAACGAAAAACTGCTTAAGGGTCAAATCGCTTGTAAGAACCGGCTGTAGAAAATAAGAAAAAGAACGGTTGCATTTTTAGATAATTACATTTATAAGCCCCTTGCATGTATATTATAAGTTCAACATGTTGTGATTACTTCTCGTGAACTTATTCATAAATTACAGTATATATATATAGGATGCGTACAGTGTAATGTATGTAAGAAATGTCTAATAAAATGCTAGTGAAACAAATGCCTTCTCTTTGTAAATGGCCGGGGGGAATACGCGTATTACACGCACTTGTGCAAACGAGAGTGATATGTGATATGTGATTTGTCAGTCGAGGCATGCTTCAATTTAATTGGTTGACGTTGAAAGACGTCAACGAAGGGGGCGGGGCTTGTGCTGCATCCGGTTTCACAAAATATTGACATAACGTGGAGAACAAAAATAAACAATAGTTAATGAGCGTTTTTTTCAGCAAAATCGCAGATCGATGTCTAAAGATGAACAATATTAAAAAAATATGTAGTTGCACTTATTAGGTAAATTAAATAACGTATATATTGAAACTACGTTGTTTCTCATACACTCATAAAGGCAATTAAAATTAAAAATAATAATTTATAAAAGAGTCCTTAAACGTTCAGTCGTGATAACTTATTTGATCCAAGATAATCATTAATATTCCACACACGTGGACAATTGCGTCTGTTTTATAGAAACAAGAATATTCCACTTTATTTATATATATATATCTAACAGATTTATCCGGATTAGAAGTAAACTAAAATTGTGGACAAAAATAAGAGCCAATTTTCGGTCTAAAATGCTCTAGTAAAACGTGCCCATCATATACATGTACATGTTATTAAATGCTCAGTTTGAATTATTTTTAAAAACATTCAAACCTTTTGGACGAAATCGTGCAGAAATTTGACTTGAATCATGTAAGAATTCAAGTCGCCAAATTTGAGAATGGAGGACATAACTGATATGGAGAGAAATGTCATCTACACATTCATCATAATCTGTTTGGAATTGTGATTTTTACTTAAAATTTTCCACTGCACTTGACAGTTATTTTTCAACTTAGTAACAGTATGACCCGGCGTAGACATCAACCTAATGGTGTTAATTTGCTTTTTATTCCATATTTGATTCACGAGATAATTATCCTGTAAACCAGATATTATGAAAAACTCCAAGTAATTGGTTTAATTCCCCCCCCCCCCATAAAATATTTTCATGTGATCACGAAATATCACAGAGATCAAATTATTATGATTAAGAAATACCCACTGTTCTTCAACCTCCTGCATTGCAAAAGATCAACTTAATTTCTTTAATGAGGGCATAAAAGTCATCAAAACAACCAATCATTAAACAACGCAAAAAAGCCCCTTATAAATGTATTTGTAATGAAACCAATATATAACTTTGAATATAATACATAACTTATCGACGAAAATATGTTAAAGCCGCATTTAACCTCGAGCTCGTCTTTAATTCTTAAAATTGTCAGGTAGGTACCCTAACCAGCGTGAAATAGACTTATGTCTTTCTCGAGCAAAACCCACCACCGATGCAAAAAGGTAAAAAGCCAGATGATAAAAAAGACATATCGTTGAGCTACGTCACTTCATTTTCACTTATCCCCGTCTACCCTGTTGGGAAATAGGTCCAGGGCACGGTGACACCATTCTTTGCTATCTTTCGCTACCGTACACGCCTGGCCCCAAGTCAAACCCATCTCTTGTAACTTGTTCTGGACTGTCGCCAAGGGAATTTGATAGCATATTATTGTGCTACGTGGGCACTCAAGACGTAATTATCCACCCAAGCGACAATTGTGCCGGAGGACTCACTACTAAAAAAAGCAAAATGATCATAACACATAAAAAGTTGTGACATTATGTTGAACTATATGTACTTGTGCATGGACAGCTTTGCAAAGCACTTCACTACAAACAAAATCAAATTAATCATAGTTGATAGAAAGTTAACGAAATCACTGGAAAAGCAACCTATAGTTTTGAAGATAGGAATAGACCAAAGGGTGTGTGACCCGTTTTGAAAATGTTTTGTCGAAATTCTTTTAAGCTATACGTGGTGAATTGGCAGGGCTAGGTAAGGAATGTGAACAAAACACAGCTAGCAGGCCCGAAATATCATAAAGTTTATCTAATGTACTCAAGCGCCATCAAAATATTCAAATGAATAGCAGAGATATTGCAACAACTGCCTGGAAATAAGTGATCGATTGTGTAAATAGGGAGAAGGTTTTTACACTGGCAAGAATGGCCAAGTAACATATGATCCTCAAATATTTATAGTTGCCCCCCCCCTACCCCCCCCCCATCCAAAAAGAAAGAAACAAAAAGAGGAAAGAAAGAAAAAAGGCGGTGGTGATGGAGAGACCAGCAACATTTGGACAATGATTTGAAAAGCGGAATGAAGGAGAGACGGGATGAAACAAGGGCGAAATCGAGAAATCAAGAGGAAGAGCCTTAAGAGAAAAACTAATGTACCGTTGGGGAAAGAGCGGGGGCAAAAAAGACTAAAATTTCAAATTAAAATTCCTCAACTTTGTAGGTGGTTTATAGAAACGCAAACAGTTTCCACGACACTGTGTTTGAATCACCTCCTCAAAGGTGTTGCATAGTCACCGGGTTCTTATACAACGCAAAAACCGAACTTTACCGCCTTAATGAATTGCTGACAACCAAAATGATGCTTATTTTCTTTTATGCAAACGAAGACGAGCTGAAAAACAGCTATATCTGGTCCTCCAAACAGCGTCATAATCATTATGGGATCTTATGTTGATTTGTTTGACCTAACGACCAGTAAACAATGGGCCATTATAAGGTACTGCTGCACGGCTATAATGAGGGAGTATTCGAAGGATGGACTCACGAAATAACCCGGATAATAGGTGATTTATGAAATCTTAATGAGACAGAGATCTTGCATCTGTAAGAAGTAAAAACGATTAAGCCATCAGTTGTTTTCGCCAGAGTTTGAAACCAGCAATCTTTGGACAACAGTTGAATATTTGAAAAATTGATAGTCCCACAGAGCAAGCTGGTGTTATAAGCAAGGTGCAGGAGGAAAGTCAACACAGGTGGGTATTTTTTTTAATTTATTGAGACATTTTTGATGTTGAAGATGTGTCAGATTTGGGTAAACTAGGACAAAGATCTGGGTGCCCATATGCCCCAATGACTTAGAGACAAATTTCTGGGTGCTTCTCGTATAAAATTTTAGTAGCAGGTTCTTCAAATAATTGAGAAAACGCTGAAGGGGACAACGCGCTTTATGCCTTCCATATTTTATATCATCGTTTTGGAAAGTTTAATCGCCAGAAAATCCACTTGTCACGCGCCCGGCGTAAATGGTACTTATTTGTTGATCCTTTACGTAACCAAACGTTAACAAATGCTTAGAAGATACTGTATAGGGTTGTCTGCAGTGATAAAACATGTAATATTATTGTAAATAATTGAATAAGAGCAAAACTGACAGTTGTAGCTTAATAAGAATATATCAGTCTTGCTTATTGATATGAAACAGACAGATCGGCGTAAGACCATCAATGTTTCCAATGCTTCCTGCTTGAACGTTTTCCGTTTGTTTAAATGATAATAAGCCTTACGGAATAATGCTGTGTATAAAATACGTCTAAATTAAAGAAAAAGTGCAATTTTAATTATTTTTACATACCCCTTGTGCAGTTTGGTGTTTTCTATTTATGCAGAGGGATATGATTTAGTCGTTTGTGCTTTGTTGGGTAGTACACATACCATGAAAGATGCAAGCCGTCACTGGGGTGGTGATGGAGAGAGAGGGTACATGTAGCTGAATGTCTTAGCCTGTCAGTAGAAGAACCGTTTTCAGATTAGACCAGGTTATGTTAATCGAGACTAATTTTAAGAACTTGAAAATATGGAATAATTTACCACACATAGCATACTTTCATTTTCAGCGAGTAACAGTAAACAGTAACAGTAAACAGCTTTCTTCTAATTTCTTTTCGGCATGAGAGCAAAGGGTTTTGTCTTTTAATGATTCTTGATTTTTTTAAATACTTTTGCCGACCAAGACATTGGTGATTACATATCTGTACAATTGTCTCTTCCAATAACACGGCCTAATGGCACGTTCCCATTAAAACTTATTACGTAATACTTTATCAGGCCCTTCTTAGCGCTGAGTACAAGAAATCAATATAAAGACAATTGACAATGGCTTATCCCAATTACACTGGCGCAGTGTGGAACAAAACAGGGATTAGATTAAATTGTTTTGGTTAGAAAAAGCATACACATGGTCTATTGAGTAAGCACGAACTAAGTTAAGCCGACGCAACCTGACTGAAATGCGACCAGCAAAATGTATTATTGTAAGGTATGTTTTTATTTTATTCGAAGTGGCCATTTCTTATTACAGTAGCGTCATGTCGCGCCTACCAACGGCAAACAAGGTAGAGCCGATGGATCCGTCCCCGCACTTACCCTGTTCTGTAAAGTCGTCCCGGTCTTCCTCGATGACGTCATCACACCTGGACCTGGCGGTGATGGAGATGCTGAACGTAAAGCCGGTGACGTCAAAGTTGGATCTCTGCGAAGGTAAACGACAATAACGTACCATGAAACGTATCCTACATAATACTTCTTTAAAGATTTTATGGATATTGTGCCCTGTTTTATATTTTGAATTAAATGTTCCTACCTTTAATTTATGTTTTTGGCGTTTGCTTAATCCTTTTATCAGAAACACGTTAATTAAACTATGAGTTGCGAGCTTATTAATAAGCTATTATTGTTATAATGGAAATATATTAGCAAAACAACTTTCGTTAAGCAAAACAAAAGAGAGACATTAATGATAGTTCATATCTAATGTTAATTCCGTAATTCGAAGTTACTAGAGTATCATTTTTACAAGATAACCTTTTTAGTGTGCCCTTAACTCCGCAGATCACACATCTGCTATTTCTGTAATTTATCCAAAAGTTTCGGACGTACTTGAAGGTATCTGATATAATCCATCATCTCACTCACCTTGAACGTGTACATGTATCACCATGGATTTCATACTTCGCGGAAACAGTGTCTCATGGCTCATATGCTTCGCGGAATCCATATTTCATATCAGGCTCGTAGCCAGGGGGGGTCGGGGGGGAGGTTTCGAAAGAACTACCCTTTTTGCTGGGAAAAGGTCCACTCTGGGTAAAATTTGACTTATGTACTTGAGGATTTTATGGTAAAAGGTCCACTTTTTCAGAAAACGCCCCCCCCCCCCCCTCTGAAATTGCTGACTATGGGACTGCATATCTATAAATTTTTGGCCCAATTTTTAGGCAATCCTATCACAAAATCAGGCAAGCGGATCCAGATGCAGAGGATGATTTGTATTACCATATTGCCCAGCCTGGTTCTGCTGGGGCTCAGTGGGAGCATCGCAGTACAGACGGGGCTGGAGTACGTCAGGGCAGTCGAACTCCTATCGGTGAGTTGCCTGCTTTCTTTTGATGAACGCTCTCTGTTATTTCTCTCTATTTCTCTCTTTTTAAGCACGGGGACTTGTTCCACAAACAAATAAATAGCCATATGCCTAGCCCGACACCTGCTGTAAACTTTCGGTCCAAAATATTTGTTCAATTTGACATACAGATCGTTCCATTAAATGAAATGCCACGTCCGTTTTAAAGCAGGAGATTCATGTTTCAGACCATAACTTACTTTATTTTAGTTGACTACCATGGAATTGTCAAAAACTGAAGTAGATATAATTTTTAATGCCTAGGATAAATGTTGAGGCCCTCTTTCGCCTGGTAAAAGGAATTAATTGTAAATTATTTGTATTATTCATTAGATTAAACTGGGAGGGGATGGTATACGACGGTGTAATTTTGAAAAAAATAATAATAATTCCTTGATGCCGGCTGTTTTCACACAGAAATTGATAATTTGAGAGTCAAACACATTTGGGGTAGAGGGGCGTGCTGCACAAAACCGTGCCCCCCTGTACTGTAGAGTTTATAATGGAAATATCTTGTTAGCACTATCAGAACACAACTGTTATTTTCATATGTTCATTTTTACCTTTAACTTCTCTGAATATGTGCATTCAAAAGACTCCCCTGCCACAGATAAGAAATTAAAGGTGTAACTTATCACATTGAAGTATTAGCCTGAATGGAAGTATACAAAGTCTGTTATACTCATATTTACATTTTCCCAACGCCAATACTGTTGCCTACCGCAGATAATCCGCCAGAGTGTGGAACAAGGAGAACTCATCAAGAACCTTCAGGACGAGAGAGATTTGAGTGCTCTGTATGTCAGCTTACTCGGGGACGAAAACAAGGATATTCTAGTCCAGCAATACCCTGTCACAGGTATCTATTCGCTATCTTCCCACCAAACACAACGTTATTATAACGTTACCATAACGTTTATATAACTTTAAAAAAAAACGTTCTGTTAACGTGATTTTAACGTTATAAAACGCTCTGTGTTTGCTGGGTTAAACTTGCCACCTGGTAGGGTTGGCATAGGTTGTCGCAATCGTAAGTATCAAATTAAACCCAGCACCAACGGATCGATTTCCCAAGCGGTCACTATCGTGCCATGTAAAGAATATTTTATAGTTTGCGATACTAGATATTAGTATTTTAATACTAATATCTAGTATTTTAGTAAATTTTAAAATCAAAATGAAAATAAAGATAATAAGCATTACGAAAAAAATGAAAGACATTGCAATGGCAAAATGGTGTACCCCTTTTGTCATTCAAACATGTTTAGGTTTATCGGTTTGGGCACGCCATTACAAAAACTTGGTGATAAAACATTGCGCAAATGACAAACTTCGTGCAATCAAAATCATAATTAACGTCGGATAGATCAACCAAGCCCAATGGTTCTAAATATTTTTAAAATTAATGCTTGCTTATCCTTTACTTTACTGTTTAAGACGCAACTTTGGTCGGACTTACTTTCTGGCCAGAACTGGACACACCCTCAGCCGCTTACAAGACAAGAATGAAGTTCTTGAACCATCTGAACAGACACCGTTACCAGCTAGACTCGCTGTACCCCGTGTACCACGCCAATGCCAACGTCCACGAGGAGATTTCTTTTTACTCAGACATCATTACCCTGCTTATCCGCTGGCTTTATCAGATGGCCACAGAGGTGAGTTTTAGACCAAATGATTAAATGTCATGAAAAAAGTTTGGTTGTTTTCAATTAGAGTTTATATTGGTGACACATATCCAGGACAACAGTAAATTATTTCTAATCCAATGATCATACTACTTGCGAGCATTGCATATGGTCTTCTGGCAGCTGTTTCAAATGGTTTAAATGAGATTGAATTGACTCACAAGAATTGATTAATCTTCCCCTGTCTATTTCTATTTTAATTCTGTAAACCAAAATAAACAGATTGTTATATAAATTGACGTGGTAAAAGAAAAATATGTTCCAGACAAATGATCAGAAACACCTCAGATTAATATATGCTTTTTGGTGCTATACAGGTTGGTTCCGGGGAGGTCTGGAAACGACTCGTGGCGTCCATTGAGTTGACAACTGCCAAACAACACCTGGGTATCGAGCGTGCTCTGGGAGGCTTGTTCTTCGCCCAGGGTGGGTTCGAAAACCCTGAGGAATACACCCTGTACATCAAACATCAAGACATCGCCAACTCCTCTATCTACTCAGCCATGAGGTATTACCACTTGGTGGAGGACTTGTTCGACGAGTCTCTGATGTTCAACAACTCGGTATTTGCAAACATCCAGAGCATGCGATACATCATCACAGAGAAAGCGTTCGAGCCGCGAGATCCAGACCTTGAAACGGGACATTGGTGGATTGGCAACATGAGCGTCGAGATTAACACCATAGCCCAGATCCAGCGGACCTTGGCCATGGGGATGTTGGACAGTCTTACTGAGAGGCAACATAAGGATGGAGTGAGCTTGGCGGGAGAGTCGATGGTCGTGTTCATTGTCCTGTTGCTCTTCCCTATTATCATCAACTCTGTGTATGGGCTGACTACACAGTTACAGAGTTACTCCTTTGTTTTGGCACAAAAGTGAGTATTTTTAATGTTTTACTGGAAGACAGTAATAGCGTGGGGAATAACTCGTACATTTAGTAATTAGTACACTTATCTCAGTATACATATATTTTCTATATTTTTCATTTTTCTACTTGTGTGTGTGTGTGTGTGTGTGTGTGTGTAAAAGATGTAGCAAAAACCTTTCAAATTGGTGCAAAAAGAACGCATCATGTAAATTTTCTCAATAGCACATTTCAAGACCTGAACAAGATGTAAGGCACGTTAATTACAATATCAAATTTTCTCTCCCCAGGACAAAGGCACTGAACAAAGAGAAGAAGCGCGGGGAGTGGTTACTTCACCGTATGTTGCCACGGACAGTGGCGGAGCAGCTGAGGAGACAGGAACCAGTGGCCCCCGAGGTGTATAAAGACGTCTCGGTGTTCTTCTCTGATATAGTCGGCTTTACAGAAATATCGTCAACAAGTTCTCCAATTCAAGTGAGTGTTGTCTTTAAACTAATGCAACTCAAGTAGTTGAGGAAGTATTTTATAGAAAAAAAAAAGGTTTTTAAAAAAGTTATTTTAATGACGATTTAATTAAGTGGCCAACCAAAAGTATATACATTTGAAGGATTTATTCGTCATGATTTCTGTGACATTATTCTTTCCAAACCCCTATCAGTCTTTTGTTATATTATTGTCATTTTTACTCATATGATTGAGTGATTGTGGATTGTAATTGACAACATTACTTTGTAATTATTCCCTCAGACTTTTTACTTATTCTCATGTTATGGCTAAGCCATTTATTGTCCTTTTGACTCCTCACTTTTTCTTTTACCAATTTCCTGCCCAGGTAATCGTTTGTCCAAACACTTCCTTAAATGATGTTTTTTTTTCAGGTTGTGATCATGCTTAACAATCTGTATCGCACTTTTGACGACAGAATTGAAAAATATGACGTGTACAAGGTAGAAACCATCGGCGACGCATACATGGTGGCATCAGGTAGGCTAAGTACATCACTCGGTCAACATCGGGTGATTCCGTAACGCGTAAACAGGAGCCACGGATTTCACCGAGGTGTTCCGAATAGAAGCAAAAGGCTCAACATTTCTGAATGTTTATATGTTATATAAGTAGAAAAACTAGGCAAACAAAGGTGCTTTTACGTGCGTCACAGCCTCTTGGGTGTTAGTAAAGTCTTGATCTTTATGCCTCTTTATATGATTGTTAGTTATTAAAGAGTGTGTATGAAGGAAAAAAACACCTTGGTCTTGGTTCTAGGCGTACCTGAAAGGAACGAAGGACGCCATTCCTCCGAGATTGCCACTATGGCACTGGACCTCCTGGACGTCATAAGTCAGTTGGAGATCCCTCACATGCCCGAGCAGACATTCCGCGTCAGAATAGGAATCCACACAGGTAGCGTTTGAAGTGATATAAAATCAATGCACCTTTAAATAAATACTATATCAAGACATACAAAACATTGTAACGTTTGTATCCCACTGTAGACAAAATTAAGAAACAACCAATATTCAGTGCTAATTCTAATGAAGTATGCTAAATTTCAGTATTATGTGTGTATATAAACATTTGATGTACATTAAAATCAAAGACGTTCCACGATGAGTAGCGCAACTCGGTATCTAAAACACTTGAATATCTTGTATATTTGTGTATGATACATATATAATACATTACGTAATGCACGAGTATGTATAAGAGAACGATGCTGTTCTTCTCATGCACATGTTTGCACGTGCGCGCGTTCGTATCCAGTTCCATCGAGAACGGCAGGACGCTCTTAAAATATCATACTTTGTGCAGCTAATCTTTAAAGCGGTACAATTCTACTTCAGGGGCTGTCGTCTCTGGTATCGTTGGCGCCAAGATGCCCCGTTACTGTTTGTTTGGGGACACGGTTAGCATTGCATCTCGTATGGAGTCTTTAGGAAGACGTGAGTTTCATTGTTTCTTTCATGAAATAATTTGCTGAAGTACAAGTTGTGCCATTCATTAGAATCTGCACGTGTTTGAACGCACACACACACACACACACACACACCACTACCACCTTTTGCATAATAATACTGCTGTTCATGCATCAAATGACATCATTTCTATGTCATTGCTTAATCGAAATGACGTCGTGACGCCAGTTTCAAGACTGAAGATGTCATTTGCCAACAGGGATTATCTTACACGTAAACAATGAATTTGAAGATATCACTTTCTGTTTTGCACATTATTCTTACTACAGCGCACACGAGTACATTGAAGCGCGTGTGTTTTACTCAACTATTTCTTCTGCAATCTTTCCGCAGCTTCTCGAGTCCACATCAGTCAACCGACATACGATGCACTGACGGAGACCGGGGGGTTTGTTATGAAGCAACGCGAGGAAAAAGTTTTACAGGTGAGAGAGGCATCAGAACCCGAATGAGATTTATGAAAATTTGTAGATAATTTTAAGTATTATCGACAACTTAAAACGACTTCTAGTTGCAAGTGTGATGAAACGCATATGTCCATGTAGGCCTACATAATGGCTTTATTAGTTTTGACTTCTTTTGGGTTATGAACTTGAAAGCTTAAGCTTGTATTGGTATGAATATTTTACGTCAAGCCTCAAATTACACCGATCCACAAAATCGAGAGTTCCTTATCGCTTTCAATAAAACTTAATTTGTATTCATGATACTTGCAGTGACTGATGCTCCTATTCCAACACCAGACATGTTCTGTGGTCATTATTTCAATCAGTTAACTATCAATTGATAATTGAAAAGAGTAAGGAAACGACAAATAAATAAATAAATAAATAAATAAATAAATAAATAAATAAATAAAGATTCATGATAAAAAATATAAGATATGAACGTTTTTTTTTTTTCAACTCCAGAATGACAAGTATATGCGACTTAGCCTGCGGGGGAAGATCGACACCTACTGGCTGATGGATAAGACAGGTATGCGACGAACAGGAGCCCATCTGAACAGCGACTTCTTTGATGATGATGATGATACCTCCCTCAAGGAAAGAAATTACGAACAGCCTTTTAAAGGTACTTATATGATACTTCATTTTATTCATTGCGCAGATTATTCACTTATTTATTTATTTATTTGTTTGTTTGTTTGTTTATTTAGTCGTTTGTAAACTTATTTTTTATTTATTTATATGCCTACCTCATATTCTAAAACCGTCCATAACCGTCCATTGAAGATATAAGTGGAATAAAGTCCTTTTTAGGGTTGTCTAACAGCCTTTTATTGTTCTAGATCGTCAGGAGTTTGAAAACCATCTTCAGGAGTCAGATGGGAACCCGTTCATTGAAAGACTCTTTCGGAGCACATTGATGAAGTAAAAATGTATGTGTAATCACTAAATATAAGGGGTTAGTGCGTGCCGCCATGAGCAGCGACCCGAGACAGCTAACTGGCATTCAAGGCCCCGTGACTCGAAAGGATCGCGCATTGCGACCGAGTGCAAGCGTCTCGATTCCATAACTCGCCCATACTCGTCCCATATAGTACATAGTAGCCTCTATGTGGTAACACTATTCGCAATGCGCGATGCTTTCGAGTTACGGGGCCTTGGAGCCGAGATACAACATGCAACCCTTATGTTTATGGCGAGTTGATATTCCGCCAATATTTCTTGGTACAGCCAACGCCAACTCTTTCAATTATGGCAGAAAAGATCCCTTGTGCTTAAGCCCCGACATATGCTCTAATGATATTTTCATGGCGTTTAAAAGTGAGAAAATACCAATTAAATACTCGTTTTTCTCCATTGCTATAGTACATAGACTTCACATTTCGCTGCCGGGTTTAGACCCCGGTCCACCAAAATCACAAGTGGCGCACGCGCATCCCCTTATACCGTTTTAGACTGGTTGAAAATAACAACATCATCTTATTCTACACGCAGTGAGGAGAATGGTAAAAACGTGCTTCGAGTCAACCCCGCCTCGCCTTATCTCCTATCCGTTCAGACAAACAGGAACAAGAACATTTCTTTCTGACTCTTTATCTAAAACAGTTTGAAGTACGTGCCGTGCGTGCAGATCCACTTATTGGTTTAACACATCTAAGTTAGAATGTCGAGGTAATGTGAGAAGTGAGTAGAAGGACTATTGCGGAGCTAAGGGATTGTAGAAAAAGTTAACAAAAAATTGGCGTGCTGTATCTTTATTCCGCATTTCTGCAACATTCAAAATATCAAAGGTATGCCTACTCGATTCATGTAAATTTTTTAAACTCAGGGCTGCCTGTGTTTCGTCAGCGCAATTATGCCTTCAAACTACAATAATTTTAAGTTAACATTTTATTTGAAGATTGTTCGTGGTAACATTATTGTAGTATGATATCCACATTATGTACAAACAGTGTCATGTAGCGTGTCATGCACATACTTGTGCATAATTTTAAATGTATATTTACATCTATGTAGGCATAGGTTTTCGCATTGATGGGGCCTGTTACAGCACTTACATATATCATACTATGTATGATGTCTGAAAATATTGTAATTTGTTCTTTTTGTAACGAAAACGCCAGTTGATAAATTTATTTCGTATAACAGTGTGTGTATATATTATAAGTTGAGTGCAGTATGTATTCCTTGATCAAAATGTATTTGTATATTATCGAAATAAAGGCAATATAAGAACCATGCAAATAAATGATATCATATATGAGTGATCGACTCCAGGTGGGAAATCGCCCAGGTTGAAGGAGCAGGACGGTGTAACGGAACTGATGGTCCGTGTGCAGTAACAGAAACTCCGCCGTCCATTTCGTAATGGTAAAGGTTAGCCTGAGTGGGTCAAAATGAATCGGAAGCGGACTCACTCGCTGTCTCGTTACCTCTGTCCCACTGCGCATGCCTGAATCAAATGAAATCGAGACCGAAACGGTCCCATGTACCCTCCGCGGGTCTCTCTACCAGTTTTGAAATTGGACGGGAGACGCCCGCAAGATTTGTATTCTTCAGGGCATTCACCACGTTGAGATTTGAAACCACTTTTAGAAAACCACAAAATGTCCATTCCTTACCAGAGTGTGCATTATTAAGGATACTTTCTTTAAGAAAAATAAGAACTCAAATTTGTCGAAGCTCTGCAACCCTTGAAGTTGGAATCCGAATAAATAAGAATCAACTATTTAGATTTATAAGAATTTTAATTACAATAAATGCACAAAAGCTTTATATTTCAACAGTGTCAATTCAAAGTACTCTCTCACAATGAAACACACCATACTGACCATTCAACTGAGTAAAATACAAAATGTCTGCTTTCTCCTGGTACAATTACAGAAATTCAAAACAATCTTTTTCCACATACGAACTTTGTTACCTTACATACAATACATATTTATTGCCTTGTCTGACACATTTTAATTATTTGTTTGTGCCATATCCTTGAGGTTACAAAAATACAAATGACAAGCAAATACTGTTACAATACAATAAACAACAGTGAAACAATAATGTACATTTTGATGCTGACACATCACGGCACGGTGTGAATCTTTAGAAAACAGTGAGAAAATGAGCTCCTACATGAAAAAAAATGGGTCATACCTTACGGCCATGGTTTTGGGCAGAGTTCCTGAAAAGTTTTTGTCTGGTTTTTGAAATCAAGACAATGAAAAAAAAATCATGCTTCTTAACTAAGATGATAAGTTTATACTCCACATTTGATTGTGTCCCAAAGTCATATTTATAATGATTCGTGACTGTGAGAAAAATGATTTTTCTATGAAAATTCTATTTGGTGTGAAAATTCTGGATAGTTGCTTTGATGCATTTGGAAAGTCTTCATTACAATAAATAAAGCTCCTTATACCACTTGAAGTATGCCACATCATCCAGATGTCGGTGTTTAGACAGGATTTCGAGTTGGAGGAAGGAAAAATGACTCCACTGATTTCTAACTGAGGTTCTGGGTCGCTTATGGCAGATAACTACTAGAAAAAGCAATTTCTGTTTTCAATCAGAAAAAAAAAGCGTCTGTGTGATAAAAACAAATGTAAATCCAGAATGGATGTCACTGGCACCTGGCTGACAGGTAGTGTATATCCAAATTTTCAGTACCTAGCAATCTGAAAACCATAAAAATTCACACAAAGCATGTTGCAGGTTCTAAGGATGCAATTCAAAAATTCAATTTGAACTGAAAATGAAAGAATTTTTTTTGTGAAATCCCTTACTAATTATTTGGAAAAATTAATGAGTAAAATTCTACTTTATAAAAAATGCCCCAAAATTATGGAAAAAAAGAAACAGATTGGCTGGGATATAATCTTAAAGCAGTATAATAGTTGTACCTATTTAAAACATCAATTCAAACCAACAATTAACTGCAATTTTGAGTGAGTAGAAAACGATTCTGTAACTAACCAAAGTCATGCTACCAAATTCATAATTCTGTTAAAATTAAACTCTCTGCCTTAGATGTTTTTAAATCTATTATTATGTTTTTTTTTTAAATTTATTATTGTTTTCTTTGTGTATATAAATGTAAACGCTACTTAAGTAAAGCATTGGATTTCACTAAGCAAAACCAAGATATTTATATTATATAAGTCATTGTTTTTTGCCTGCCTATATATTGCAAAAAATATCACATGGAAAGTTGAATGCCCTAGATGTGTGTTCCTGCCACTAAAAAAAATCAACGTCTTTTATCATTCACTGTTCATATCCTTGGAACATGTGTACGCAATATATCTCAAATAAAGAGAAAATTCCTTTTCATAACAAGTCTCCAAAACATGATGAGTCATTTATAAATCCTTTTGTCCTCAGAAGAAAAACAAAATCCAATTTCTTCTGCAATGGTGTACGGTATCAAGTAAAAAGATTTATCCTTTTCGTGATTGGCTTCCGACACATGTGACAGTTCCGTAAGGGCTGTGCGCAGATGTGACACGCGCTGTGTCCACAAAGGAACACGAGGTCCTTTTTACGATCCAGACAAATGGAGCACATAACAGTGTCCTCCATCTCTTGCATTTTGGCCTGTAGTTCCTGGAATTTTGACTCGCTGAAATCGTTGGAGCTGTCCTGGCGTTTCACTGACGATGGCTTGATTGGTGTCCCGCCTGAAAAATGAAGAATTTTCACTATTTATTACCATATATTTCATAAAATCAATACAGTACTGTGAATAATATAAGGAAAATAATATAAAAAAGTTATTTCAAAACTTTACACCTCATTTGCATAAAAAACCTAAGTTTCTTCTTCCTACACTGAAGCAGATATGAAATTCTCACAGGTAAAGTACATTTCTGACAAGGCATTAACATTGAAAATGACAAAAATGATATGAGTTAATGGATATTTAAATCAATATCTAAAATAGCATGGCATCAATGTTCTTGTGCTGAGATGCAATAAAGGGTGATAGCAAAAAAAAAAAAAAAATTATTATAAGCAAGTAAGAAATTGGTGAACATATCTAACAATTTTATTGTGTCATTACTGCCTGTCACATGAAAGAAAAGAGGTCAAAAGGTAATCTTGAATTTAAATCCAAAAAGTTTGGCTAACTTCAGTCTACAATAAATCTCACATAGTCTACTAAAAAGTAACTGAAAGTCTAAAACAATCGCAACTTCTCTCCTTTTGTAAAAACAATTCTAGTATAATAATAATACAAATGGACTACTGCCTTAATTTGAATCTAAGTAATGGAAATAAAATCTTCCAACCCAAAGTTAAGACAAACTCCAAGATACTTAGAAGGGAATGCTAACTGCCTGTGTAGACACAATAATATACAACTTCAAGCAGTCTCTAGTAAGCTTTCTATAAGGTGTGTGGAAATCTGCTTATAGTTATTACTCACAAATTCTGAACATATATATTTTTTATATTTTTCTAAAACAAACTGTGAAAAAAAAGATGCACATAGAAAAAAGTTTCTGATCGATCTGATTAATCTCTCAATGAAAGTTTTTCTGAACACCTATACAAACTCAGAAAAATGGAAGGCTAGAAACATAGTTTGACAAAGTAAATCACTTGATTTCAACGACAGTTTGTGAGTAATTACCATGTTAGCATTTGTTTAGTGTTCCACCCCAATACAAATTAGTTAAAATCATTCACTGGTAAAAACACTATACTCACTGAGTGCATTCAATTCCTGCCCACCTGGAATAAACAGACATGCAGGGGTCAACAAGTGCAAAAACCACAGCAGCCATTTAGAAAATGACTGCCATTTTACATTATCAAGCTAAAATCGATCATATTACTTGAGAGTGGGATTTCCATGCTGTGATTCAACTCTGTTCCCATCCCAGTTCAACATGCAAGGGTTGTTAATGCCAGTGCTCCAATTTAGAAAGCAGGGTGTTTTCACACGACAGAAAAGCAGAGGCAAATTCAGAGAGGAGTGAGGTGGGGAGATGGCTTGGGAGGTGGTGGAAACCTCCCTGACAGAGATCTCAGATAGGGAAAATATACTCTTATGTGTTGCTTTCTAACTGAGAGTATGAGACTGTTTTAAGACTGTGTAAGATACTTTGGGGTGCAGAGATTATGGGGCGATGGATCCACACCTGTTTTGGTATGCTCCAAATTATGAACTTACACCAGGTGATATCAGGTATATGTTGTCTTTACATATACCCAGGTAAAGTACAAACAACAAGGTTAAACTTGTAATATTTTCATATCTTTTATCCACAGATAATAGCATTTAACCTTGTCATTTATTGACAGTTTGATGGTAAGAAAACTTACCAGCAGCGACTTTGCTTTGGATTGGTACTCCACACTCCAGACATTTCTTCATCTTGGCGCAGCAGTCCGAGCAGGATATCTGATGTCCGCAGGGCATGAACTTCACATCCGCAGGATCGTCTTCACAAACTTTGCACGACGGCATGCTGTTTTCTGCAGGATTGGCAGGAGTGCTGGTTCTGAAGAAAATGTATATTTAGATTCTATTTCTTTTTTTTTTTTTTTGAAAACAAGCTTTTGCACCCCTGAGAAGTTTCGATGTCCAATGGACACCTTCATAAGTCAAATAAGATTAATTTTAACTGTTTTTTATTATTTTTAACAAAGTGATGCAATTGACATAAGGTGTCTGACGGGCATTGAAACATCTCAAGTGAGTCATAAAAGTTTGTTTAAAAAAAATGAAAATTAAAATAATAAAAAATTTTGAAAAAAGGATATAATCCTGTCGCTTCTTTGAACTTGACCTGTGCTTAAGCTCCTCTACAAATGGCTACAAGGTCCAAGCAAAACTGTGATTTGTTTCATGTTATCACATGTCAACAATAAGTAAGCATGGCTCTGGTTTTTAACCATCAGTAAAAAGCATGAATCCAATAACTGTTGATGAGCTTTATGGTATAGAGAGAATTTCTACTCATGAGTCACTGTACCAACTTGATCTGTTTGTTTACTTGGCAGGTAGCAACAAGTTTTACGAGAATTTATTTAAGTTTTACAAAGTCAATGACCTGCCCAAAACTGCCCAAATAATGGACTAGTTGTACTCACTGTACTCCAGCAAACTGTTTCAGTTGCTCCTGCACCTTGGGGTCTGTGATAACATCAAGGGGGGTCTTTCCCTGTGCATTCTTATTGGTCAGAGAGGCCCCCTGCTGAGCTAAGTAACAGGCAATGGCTGTGCCTGTGTTTGTGTCGTCCTCGGTCATGCCTAACTGTGAGCGAATCTGGAAGGGAAATTATTCACAATGTCTTTTAGATAATTCTTCATCAAGTCTCACAAAATTGTTTAGTTATATTCAATTTTCAACCTTTGTTTGACTGGCAGTATCTGGATAGGTTTTATTCAACCAACCTCAACCAACAACATTTTTGGCTCCCAAAAAGTCAGCATTCAGTTTATAGTCAGAAAACTCTCATCCCTGTATATAACTACTAAATGTTTATTGTAAGCTTTAATGTCTTCTGCTGTATTAGATGTTATGGGTGTGTGAACTTACAGCAGCTAATATGGGCGAGTTGTCCAGTTCTGTGGCCACATTCTGTCTCATGAGAGCTAGGTGGAGGCAGGTGTCTCCATCCTCATCCTGGACATTAACATCAGCACCTACAGCATTAATATAATAAATAAATAAATAAATAAATAAATAAATAAAATGAGGAAACTTGCATACTGACTTTCTTCCCATACTGAACTAACTATAATCAGACAGCCTACAAAAATGGTGTTTTGCGTTAGGCTGGCCCATTCAGACTGAAAACTCGACTACATTCAAAGTTGGTCTGACCCATCTTAACTGAAACCACATCTACAATGCCTGTATACAGAGAGGTGTAAATTGTTACCTTTAGACACCAGTAACTCCAGTAAAGCCGTGTGTCCCTGGGAAACCGCCAGGAGGAGAGGAGTCTGTTTTCTGTTGTTCCTGATCTCTATGTCTGCCTGGCCCTGCAGAGACAGAAATGATGGTAGGTTAGTTATAGGAGGTAAAGATTTGTGAAGATACTCTGCTGGGGGCAACCTAGCGATTTTGTGTTATTTTGCTGATATATATCTGGTGTTAAAAATATTGCACTGAAATCTTCCAGAAAGCTATGTAGATGGTGAATTTTCAATGAACAGCAGAGAAAGAGCTTAGACAAATGGATAAAAAGCTAAGGATCCATTACACCTAGCCACCAATAAGCATGTGCAATGATGATCTTTTTAAACCTAAACACTTCAGCTCAATGTAATTCCACTTACTCCAATCAAGCCATATTTTACCTGCGTGAGAAGAATTTCTGCCACTTCCTTGTGGCCGTTCAATGCTGCAAGGTGGAGGGCTGAGAAACCATCGTCCTTCTTGACGTCAGCCACCTGACGCGCCTTGAGCAGGATACGCTCAGTGGCCCTGAAGTACAGATGTCAAGAGGTCAAACAGAGGTGAAAAGTCAAAGGTCACACAAAGGTCACATATTTTGCTGTATATGGGTACCGTAAGTACATGGGAAAACATATTTTAATCAAAACTTGAATATGTCTAATCTTTCAACTACCCTGATCAATAATCACAATATTGAAACAATATCAATTTTCATTCACCCCAAAACAAAGATTTGTCAGTCATAACTGTTAAAGACCAGAGAAGTGCAGCTGGCTCCTTGGTAAGTACCACCAGCAGGGTTAAGCAAGTAGTGTGATAGTATCAAAGATTTCATGTTGTATAAACAACTCAAAGCATACTGCCTCTTACTACAGCATGGCAGAGGACAATCAAGATCAGAGAGGCATAGCCGCCCTCTGGTTATGTACCACCAGCTGGGTTATGCAGACCAATGAGATAACACCCAACTACTTACAGCTTATTGCCTTTCAATGCTGCATGGTGTAGTACGTTGAAGCCGCGTTTATTGCGCAGGGTAAAGTCAATGCCTGGATAGTTGCATAACAGGTCAATGATCTCCTGGTTGTCCTTTCCTATACCATCATGCAGTGCTGTGTCACCATACGAATCCTGGAATGATGAAATTATTATTTTCATTCAGTAATCATAGATTTGTGGAAACAAAGCAAATTGAGGGACAAATTTATTAACTTGGATATCAGGCCGGATTTAGCTTTTAAGTCAATCAAATATTTTCGTATTACTTGTAAAAATGATCCTCTCTCTCTGATTTCATCTTTACTGCTCCACTTGCTAATACTAATAAAGAAAAATATAAACGTTTTCTTGATTTTGTACTGCTCACAATTCACATATCTAATTATCTTTACTCAATATCTCAATATAAGTTGGAGTGAACCATGAGCCTAAACAAACCTGAATGTTGACATCGCACGTGTGTCGCAGTAAGACGCGCACACAGTCCACGTGCTGTTTGTTCACAGCCACATGCAGCGTGCTGCAGCCGCCATTGTTTAAAGCGTTGATGTTGGCGCCCTTGCTGAGGAGGTACTCTGTGATCTCTGGCTGGTTACTGTTAAAGAAGGATGAAAGAAGTTAAAATGGTTGTGTTTCTTATTTTTACATATGATAGTATGTACAGCCAAGCAGGTGTGGAAGTCATAAATTTAGATACATTTTACCAAAAATGCACCTGGCAATTAAATCTATCCTTGATCCACCCGCATTTTTGCTTACCCAGAATGCACTTAGCCATCTGTGTGTAAAAAAAACTTAAACTATGGTGAACTTATCAAGAATGCAAAAATAAAACTCACTACACAGGGGTAAAAGAACTTACCCAGAATGCATCTGTGCGACAGAACTTACCCACAATGCTCCAGAGTAAGGACTCATCCAGAATGCATCCAGCTTACACCTGTGTACGTGAAAGACAACTTACCCAGCATGTATCTGTGAGTGAGAAACAACTTACCCAGCATACATCTACATGCAAGAAAGAACTTACCCAGCATGCATCTGTATAAGTTAGAGAGAACTCACCCAAATGACGCATAATGCAGGGCTGTGTCCCCGTCCTCGTCCTGCAGCTCCAGGTTGGCCCCAGAGCTCAGTAATAATTTGACAATTTCTATGTGACCTTGGTGGCTGGCAACTTGCAGCGCCGTCTTCCCTGCACTCTTCTGGTCAACCTGGAGAGTGACAAAAAAAAAAAAAATAAAATAAATAAATAAATAAAATAAATAAAATAATAATAAATAAATAAATAAATAAATAAAATATTACATTACAGATGACATAATTTGATTTCAAAATTCAGTTATACTATCTTTTACCATACGAAAATATACTTAGCAAACATTGAAGTATTTCCCAAATTGAGAATTTTTTTGTCAATTGGAAAAAGTCCAGCCTGTCACTAACAAGCTACCTGACATTATAAAAACCCTGGTTTCTATCTACAACTAGTCTTGGAACTTTTTTTGTTAAAAAATGAATCATTCTAATAATTTACAACAGTCTATTACGTACCTTGTCTGGGAATTTTGTAACAATGTTCTTGACATTATCGATGTGTCCCTGCGCGGCCTCTCGTACCAGGCGGTCTGGGCCACTGGCGTCTGGAAGCTGAAGCTCAAACAGCTGCTCTAACAGAGCTGTCAGGGTGGCTGTAAAATAGAGAGCGGGTTTCATGAAAACAAAGACCAGGAGAATGAGGAGAATATGGTTTTGTGGCTTCAGGGACATGTTGCTAATATACCTGTTTTCCATTAGTGTCAAAGGTGACTGCCCTAAAGAGGTCACTTAAAAAGAAGTTCTGTTGAAACGGACTTATGAATTAAGAAGTATGAGAAGTCCAGTTAGGGGAAACATTTCACCAACTTGCACAACCTGTAAATCTAGAAAAAAAAACTTTTTAAAAATCAATTTCCTATTGGTGTTACTTACTTGTCCTATCCTCTCTCTCATGTGATGCCATGCTGTTGTTCAGATCCTCGGCACCATGTGGCAGCACTGTGCAGCAGGCAGGGTTGAACGTCCACGTCTGCTTGTTGACCGCCACCCTCAAGTCACCATCTGCATACACCTTCAGAACCTTTCCTATCTTACCTAGGGCCTGGAACATGGACAACACAAGATCTTTGATATTGGACATATAGAAATATACCTTTAATACCTTCCCTATCTTACCTAGGGCCTGGAACATGGACAATAAAAGATTTGTGATACTGGACATATAGATCTACACCTTCAATACCTTCCCTATCTCAAAGTCTAACAAATTTATGGGTAGAATCACTAATGATAACATATGGCCCATGCTGTCTTGAACTATAACTTATCTATAATCTTCATCATGACACTCACAGCTTTCATGCTGTCCGTCCACTCCCCGTGGCCAACTTGCAGTTTTCTAACTTCATGGAGGTTTTCTGATATCTTCACAATGTCTGCCACTGAAAACTGCTGGACCTTCACATTAGAAACAGAAAATACATTACCAAATGTATTCAATTTTCAGTTAACTGGCACATGGTAAAAATCGAACAGCTAATTGAAACCAGAAGAAAACCAAGTCAGACAGAGACATATTCTGCTACTTTCAAATATTTTCACAAAATTCAAATCATTTGCTACAGTGGACACAACGTAATAATAATAATAATAATAATAATTCATCAATTATTTATTAATTAAAAAACAGATATGATTTTGGGTAGTAAAAAAAAGGAAAAACTATAGAAAACTGCCCATGGTGGGCTCATCATTAAAGACAGCCAAAATGGGCCCCCTGAGATGAGGGGACTCAAATGGAAAGGAAACATGCCTTCCATGCCTCACACCCACCTTGGTCAAAGCACCTGCATGGAACGTCCACCTGTTCTGGCATCCCTCATACTGCACGCGCACGTCTCCGCGCTCTGTGATTCGATGAACTGTACCAACTTTTCCAATGAACTACAATAAGCAAATATGGTTGATGTTTTTATATGTTCGAATATTCCATTAGAAAGAAACTGGGTTTATTAGGAGAAAAGGGATAGTTTGTAAAAGTTACATCTAAAGCATTGCAAGTAACTTTAAACTTAATAGAGAATTCAATCATCAGCTTTAGATCATGTTTATGTGATTATCTATCAACTGTTCAATCAAAAATTATGGATAATTATTTTCCAAAAATTTCATCAATTCTACCTCTGCCATCTTTGGATTCCATCCCCCATGACCTTCCTGCATGGCCTTGAGAATATCTAGGTCAAGGTCAACTTTGACTTTGTCTCCCACCCTGAACTGGCAGGGCACCACAGCTGCGGTGGACGCCTCGGTGTGCTCACCTGAAAGGTCATGAATAATTTGCAATTTAGTCCAAGAATTGATAAAATTTGGGATCATTGAACAGACCAAAAGATCTGGAGAGATGTGAATCTTTTCAACACGATTTACTATGAAGTAATTGTATACGAAGCAGCACAACATAATTCCTTATTTGTTACTTGCCAAAAAGACAAGCACTACGTCATGTTTAATAAAAAGACAACTGTTCATTTATAAGTGGGTCAGTTGCCCCATTTACCAGTGCAGAAAAGTACTGGCACTGGCGAGTTTGAAAACGCTGGGTTATCACATGGCACAAGTGCACCAATGAGGTACCATCTCTGGTCCTTTCCGCCTTCTTACCTAGCACAGGCAGATGGTCTCTGTAGTACGGCCATCCAGGGGCATCCTGGATGTATTTTAGGTCCACTTTCCCCTTGTGGCCCAGCCTGTACACATTGGTGGAGCCTGTTGTCCAGGACACGTTGGCGACACTGCGTCCAGACTCTGTGTCCCACCCTCGTATGTCCAGCACCTTGCCCACTTTACCTTCTCCTCCTGTGAAGGAAAAAAAAAAGGAAAATGTGTTTTTGTTTGATGTCAACTGGATTAAAATTCAGGGAAGAGAGAAAATGTATGTATTTGAACACTGCTGCAAAGTATAAAAAATGTATAAAACTGCTAACTGATTCTTGTTTTTAATGTTGGTTATTCATGTCTTATATTTACCATCTTGGCTTGCCCAGTCCCAGTCTGGCCCGCGGACCACTTTGGCTCCAGAAAATATACCCTTGGCAGTCAGTTTCACAGATGTGCTCCTCTTTGGTACCTTGACTCTGGAACCAAATTTAAAAATAAATAAATATATAAATAAATTCTTCTCAGAGTTCAACAAAAAGTGATGTTTTTTTTAAATGTGATTAAAAACGCAATTTTTTGGCTAAAAAAAAATGAAAAAGACAATGTACTGCTTCATTTTTTCCTAAAAAGTAACAGATTTTGACATTGTGTAGCACCTGACTTCTAAATGAATTGGAAGGGAAGAAATAAGTGTATCCTTACCCCTGTGAGTTAGCGGTATCAAACCTCATGAAGGGATGGCTGGTGTCGTGTTTGTCACTCATGTAGCAGTGGGAACACAGATCAAAGTCGTAACACTTGGCACACTTCCAGCGCATTCCTTGGATTCCCTGCTTCTTACAGGCATCACAGATGATATTTGGGTGTTTTACTCCTGGGAAGGATAAATTAAATGAACTAATAAATAAAAATAAAATAATTTATAAATTATTTGAAATTTGTTGATCAGAATCACATACTTTACTTTTGTTTACACACCACAGGTAAATGACCCAGGTGCTTGACAAGGGTGTCTTAGTACTATATACACTGAGTCAAGTACAAAATAAAATTAAAAAAAAAAAAAAAACATAATTGGTGAAAAAAAATATCTTCACTTTATCATTTGTTAAGGTGAATCATTTTGGCACAAGGACAAGAAAACCAACCGTTGTTTGGAAAAATAAAGAAAAAAAGGAATTCTTCTTTAAATGGCAGTTCAAGTCATTTATTCTACAATTGGAAATCCTATATATTCCTCACCTCCAAGTTACAAACGGCAATTTTGTTCATAAGGCATGTTAGAGGTAAATTATCTTTTTTTTTTTTTTTATCAGAGAAGAAAGCGCTTTCTTGCAATCCCTGAAGAAGCAAGCACAAAAGGCATGCAACACTATGTGGTGGAGGGGGGGGGGGGGGGGGGGGGGGCTGGCACCCAAATATCTCATTTTCTATTCAGTATAATCTGGAAGACTTCCATCTCTATTGTATGACAGCTACTGCTTCTACACTGCTAATACTGGGTACCTTGACATTCAAATCACAGCAGATTACATCACTTAATACCTGATATTGAAGCCACTTTACTATGACTGGATCAATACCGTCTCCAGTGCCAAATCAAAATATGATGTGCTCACTTAGCTACAGCTAAACTGTTCACAATTGATGAGTCCCTTTCTGACATGTTCTACATTAAAACCTGTCACAAGTGTTGTTCTTGCTGACATGCCTGATGATTACCTCCAAGGAGTTTACGTTTTTGCTCCTTTTGTTTGTTTTTTTTTTTGCTTGTTTGCAACATTATGCAAAAAAGTTTTTGTCAGATTTAGATGAAATTACCAAGATAGGTCAGATAAGTCACGGAAAATTGATTGGATCAATGATTACTTTATGATTAATTATTAGTTAACAATGTCTCAGCAGATGTCTGCATTCTCAGTGCTTTTCTTCTTTGAATGTTTCTGATATTTCTTTTAAATACCAATTTGTAAGACATTAAGAATTAGGTGTACGACAATAGATCAATAAAAGCAAGCAGATGTCTTAAATTTACAGCAGCATGATTATCTAGGTTTAATCAAAATAACCTAATGTGAATTGGACCTCTGTTATACTAGTGTAATGGGAATGCTGAGAATTTACTGAAAACCCAATCAAAACCAATGTCATGATGAAATGCCAGCTAAACAACAATTTGGCAATTCCTCTCAAAAGATGCACATACTAGTAACTGTTTTTAACCAGCTTAAAAAAAAGAATTCCCAAAATAATGCCTCATTTATAATTTCAGAAGACTCAACTCACAAAATCAAAATAGTATTAATTAATTTTTTAATCAAAGGGGGTAATTGATTATTGTTGTTCATATTGTTCTATTTACATATTTATCCATGCATATATCACTGCTTTCCACCATCCTTTTTCTTTTCTTCATTTTAACATTGCAGTGTCTCGTGTAAATGTTGTTTCATATGTCTGGATAACTACCACAGTCTAAGAGTAATATGTCATCAAGTTGGCAGCCAGGAAGCTCATGTTGACTGTTTCTCATGTCCTTTATGAGTCAGACAAAGTTTGCCAAGGTTCACTCTGTTTATTTCTGTTTTGCTTTGTTTTGGCCAACGTGACTAATTCTTGCCAATTTATCTTGTAACTGGTAAAATATCAGTTATTTGCTTCAGAAAAATACCATTTACCAAAAAAGTTTTGCTGTCAAAAAAAAATCTGCAGTTCTTTTAAGTGAACCAGTTTGTCTCCATCAATTTTTGCTATGTCCTACAGAACCATCAATTCCACACCTATAATTTTTGTCACTGAAACCAATGTGCTTCCATCAGAATTTTGACCACACAGTTTTGCCTTTTTTGCTGCAAAACTGACAAAGTAAGTGACAACTGAGCATTTCCGCTAAATGTGAAACGGGTTTACTAGTGGGTGCCAGAAAACAGAAGGAAAGGGGGGGGGGGGGGAGTCGCTTTTCGAGAAGCTGTGCCCAACCCTCCTCACTTGTCTCCTCTTCCCAAACATGTTAAAAGGAATCCTCCATTAAGCCTAAGATTATGACACATTCTGTTGTCATTAGGAAGAGTATCTTAATCTTATCAAAAATTCTGAAAAAAAAATTTTTTTTTTTGAGTACGAGACATTTCCAGGCAAAACATAAACATAATCCAGATGGCAATAAAAAAGGAATACAAGCCTGCAAATCTAATAAAAACTAGTTTTATTTCAGCAATTTGTCTGCTTTATGACAGCCTTAAAACATTCATATTGCTGGCAAAAGCACTACATAATGCTTGCAGACAAATTGATTTCCTTTTGGTGGACTAGTAAAAACACACATATGGCCGTCTGCCAGTGGTTACATAAAATACACTCGGGATATCTTGTAGATAACCCAAGTGCTGTTGTGCTTATAAAATTATGTAAGTTTATTTATTTTTTTTCATCATGGGAAAAAACAACCAGTTTCCTTTCTACTACAATTCCTCCCAATCACTCATTTACATTACTTGTGACAAATTGCAAATTTGCTTTATTTGCAATATATCATATGTTGTCTTCATTATATCAAAGTTCTATAATATCTTCAGTCATTTTAGTAAGTTTATTTTTCTTGCTGTAAACCATTTCAATCTAAGCTTTAATTTTAAACACATAAAGACTCCCTCTGGAGTAATTGCGCAGTACCCAAAGCAATAGATTCACTGTGAATGCACCCTTATTCTCTGAGCGATTCAAAGACTATAGAAGGTGCGTTCAGAACCCATATCTAATCGATTTGTAACCCTCAGGGCTCAGGGGCCTTGGGGGGAGGGGGGGGGGAGGGCCTAACTGTGGCCAGTTCATTCTGCACCTACTTCAGGATGAACCCAAAATCAAGACATGGTAAGACTGATGGTCCTACAGGACCAGTCATAGCTGAAGAGTTTTTTTGAAGAACCAGTAGAAAAATGTGTTCAAAAGGAAATATAGGAAGCTTTCCTGGACATACATATGACCGCAGGTATTTTCAAAAGCGTGAAGAGAACATCTAACAATTTATTTTGGTGGGAAAATCCCATGCCGATGGAGTGGGAAAATCCCATGGAGTAGCCTTTTTAACTCATGGACCACATACTGTACATATACTAGTAATGCTCCTCAGACTTATAGATGTCAAGGTTCACAGTTAGTCCATTTACTGGCTGGATTAGTCTACAAATGCTTTCAGTGAAAACAGCCCTTGGCGCCCCCTAGGGACCATTAGTGTGGGTCTCCCATCAACCCATTTCTGCAAAAAAATTCTTGGAAACATGCACTCTATAAAAGCCATGAAATCTGAAGGTGGATTTATGTAAGATTTATGTAAGACCCAGAAATTTTGCAAGGTTTTTGACTGGCGAGTCCAAATTTATTTTCCTATATAAAAGCCAAGATATCTGAAGGTGCATTTATATATATACATTTACATAAGCTTTATTAAGGAGCAGAAAATTGCCTATTGAGACAGACTGTTTTAAGTTTTTGGTAAAAAAAAAATTTATTGTGATATGTAACAGGAAATGTTCCAGATCAATACTCATACTTACTAGTACTGCATGTGAATAAATAGAGAGACAAACACAGAGCTTTGCTAATCATACCCATCTCCTCTCCGTACCCCCAAACCCATTACCTTCAATTCAGACTGTTACTATTCACATAATAGTAAGCATCAGCATCATCAATATCAATACCACCTTTCAAAAAATCATTTCATGTGAAACAGTAAAACTACTAGTAAACTCACCTATGGGTGCATTGTCAAGTATGCGTAAATCAAACGCTCCCTGGTAGCCGACGCGATAATTGGTCCTACTCCCAGAATCCCATTGCACAACAACAGTCTTATCTGGCGAGGTCTGGCTTCCTGGGCGCCCGATTTCCACCACAGTTCCCACGTGCCCCTCGCCATCGTCCTGGTTACTCCACTTCCAGTCAGGGCCGCGAACAACTCGCAGCCCTACCTCCATCTTCAAATCCAGGCGTAAAAATGTTCCCAATGTAAAGTTTTTTTTGTGTATTTTCCGAAACTGTAGACGTATATATCTTATTTTTAATTATTTCCACAGGGAAGGTTCTTCGTTCTTTAAACAATGTTGTATGTGGACTGTTGGTTTTTTTCTTCTTTCTGCTTTCTTACTTCTGTTGAGGACACGCCCTATTTATTAGTAGCAGCCTCACCTCTGAAAAGATACAAAATCATGATAAATAAGATATATATTGTAATGCTTCTCAAACTATGCTTCATCCCCTATGTACCTTTAACCAGCAGTACTAGTACTTACCTTATGGTACTAGTAGTACTTGAATTCAAATACTAATACACAAAATTAACTACAAAGTGCATTTGGATGGAATGTTCACACCTAGTTCTGAATCCTCCCAGTCCATTCCAGTGGAAATCGTCGAGACACAAACACCCCAACGGAGTTAGATTCAAACACACATAACATACTAAAGAGTGCATTATGATGGAATATTGGCACTTCATTACAAATTCTCCCAGTCCATTCCATTGGAAGTCATCAAGGACACGAACACCTCAACAGGCCGTGTTCCTAGATTCACATAACATCCCAGGTGGGTGTCGGGTTAGCTTGTTTCAATAGCTGCCTGAGACAATTAAAATGTTAAGCATCATCAGTGTAAGACTCTGTGAGAAATGGCACTGGACTGATGTAACAATTAATTGACTGCATGATCTCATCCTGGTTCTGAACATATCCTAAATCAATACTGCACTTTCTCTGAAATACCAGATCACGATTAGAACATCAAATATAGAGGATTATGACACTTTCTAGGACCTAAAAAAGAAAAGAACGATTAATTTCCAGTCATTTACAGTGATTTTCCGCACACATATTGAAGTTGATTAGTGCTGGGGTTAACGAGGAGATTGGTGATGTTCACTACCAACAGTGATATCAATACAAGGGTGATGATTCAATGCACTGAATCATTTCAACAAACCAAACCAAAATTAACATTTTGATGTCAAACTAGCAGGCTTACATAATTTCAATATGCATTATAGTCATAAATCCTGCTCCATTCTATCCACTACTACCTACTTTCAATGACTCCTTCATACCTCAGGGTGATTTCAGTTGAGAGTAAATAGTTAAAACTCTTATTTTGACAAAATGTCAATAATTATTTCTCTCTTTTATAATCTTTACCCTTATTTAAGTATTTCAAATTGTCACTTAAATTTCCTCATGCTCACCTTGGTAAAACACAGAGCAGTCTTGTTACACTGGCCCCCAACTTCACATTTTGCCCTTCTCAGGACCAACTACTATTTACTAAATAAATCTCGAGTTACAGATAGGTGCTTCACCATCCAGCCAAATAATCAAATTCTAATATTTAAATGATCAAAAAGTCAAAGTCCAAGTACAAATCTATTCCATTTACTGTGGGATCACCACTACCGCTCCGTTCATAAAACAATATGTGCATGTATGATAAAGCCAAATTACAAGACATCTGCTGAGGGAGTGTCTCAAAAACATGGGATTGTATCATACTTATATATTACAATATTGCACATAATATTGTCACATGCATGTACTATAAGGATACACCATCTGCAGATAGGTGTTTGGCTTTTAAAGGGAATGTGAGCAGTTTGCATGAATCACCATGTTTTTCCAAGTCTGTAATTTGTAAAGGTATGTTGAAAAGAGCTTACAAATATCTGCAGATACTGTGAAAAGCATTTGATCTCGGGTCCTTATGAAAATGTCATTGAAAGCAATGTTATCAGTGCCTATGAAACTTAGAAATGTCTTTCCACCATGCTTTCTCTTCTGTCCTCTCTGAATTTACTTCCTGCCCCCCTTCTTCTCTCCCTCTCCTTTCCTTTTTTTCTTTTTCTCTTTATCCACTTCTTTTATTCCTAACCCCCTCTCTTTTTTCACGTCCTGCATATGTGTGTGTGTGTGTGTGCGTGTGTGTGTGTGTGTGTGTGTGTGTGTGTGTGTGTGTGTGTGTGTGTATTTTTTTCATCTGCTCTCTATCCTCTTCTTTAACTCCAAAACCTTTTCCTCTCCCCAAACTAGCTTTAGCTCCCAAACTTACCATCACATCTCCTCGATAATTCACCAGTTCTGTTTCTAAACATCACCTCCCCATCTCAGCAACATCCATTGCCTATTATGCAAAATTACAGGCACTTTCTGGTGTATTGGGAGAGCGTTCCCAATACCCATGACAGGGAATTATGTTCAATTATGGGACTTATCCATAAAAATATCTGCTGCATCAACAGAATTTCACTGAATTTGAGTCCCCAAGTGAGTGCATGGGTCTGGCTGATAAAAGGATGTTAGTTCTCCAGGAAGTCATTCAGAACAGAAGATCCGAGGATCCACGTGTGGAGGCAGGGAGACTATCAGCTCTTATTTGATGTAGGGTCTGCCATATTTGATCTGTGGATCAGTGGATCCTTGGATCTTCTGCTCTGAATGGAATCAATCACTAGCAAAACAGGTACGACCTTACACATGCATGCATAAACACATGATATGAGAAGTTCTTCAACTTTTATTCAGAGAGAGAGAGAGAGAGAGAGAGAGAGAGAGAGAGAGAGAGAGAGAGAGAGAGAGAGAGAGAGCTTTTCTAACTAGTAAATGATTGAGTGTCCATATGTGTTCAAAAGTATAATATTATACCATGTAAAAACTTTTGCATACAGGCATATTGTAAAACCCATATATTAAATTACCACCAACCTTAATCTCAAATATCCTAGAGATGTACCAGCTACTCTATGTCCTAGACAAAGAGGGTGAGTCCTCAACCAGATCTCTCACCCAGTTAATGATATTGATGACATTGACAACAGGACATTCAGTCTCCTCCTTCACAGCTGTCTCTCAACCTACAGACCTTCCTATCTCTCTTAACACCTTAATCAGTTCATATTACTAGTGCACCAACAGCCATGGGCACTAATTAACTCCCCATTAATTACCAATTAAAGTCTGATCCCTTCATTTGTTGTGAATAAAAGCTCCTAGAGGTGTCATTATTAAGCATAAATCTCATCTAGCCCCCATTGTACAAGTGCTAGGATGGTTTGTTAATGACTTAATCTCATCATGACCCAAGAAAAAGAAAACAAGCCTTCTCTGAGAGAGAGAGAGAGGCAGAGAGAGAGAGAGAGAGAGAGAGAGAGGAGGGTTGAGAACTTTAACTAAATTGACTAAAAGCATAGGTGGCAAAGGTTTTACTGAAAGTGAAGATTTGTATTTAGGGATGGCCCTTGGAAAACAGTATTTTAAATTTCGTTTATAATGTTGATTGTTCTTAAACATTAAGGATTCTAACTACAAAATTGAGAAAAAGAAATTAAAGAGATATTTCACATCCTGGTCATCATTTATATATTACTCTTTATATGAGTCACTTAATCAATATATAGTCTACAAATTAAAATAATTACAAAAGGGGAAAAAGATAATTATGACCACAAAATATGCAACAGCGTGGCAAGTAAAACTAATATGGTATGCATACATTTATAACAGCAGGAAATGTACTGTAAGAGAAGTGAAATACATGATAAGATACTAACCAGGATGCGCCTGGTTGAAGTTTAATAAATTTCTTTCCACAAATATTTTAACCCCAAAAGGCAGAATGTGGAAAGGGAAGGAAAAAGACACACTAAAACCATATATTGTCAAACTATACCACAAAAAGTAGAAATTATACTATAAAATACATTATACAAAGAGAAACTAGGATCCTGTCAATTTTAACTGCAACCTAAAGGCATGACCTATGGCAAGTTTTGATAACTCATTTCTGAAATAATAATAATAATAATAATAATAATAATAATAATAATTATTATTATTATTATTGCAAGTAAAAAAAGTAGGACTCTGCAATTAAATAACAAAAGAACTTGAGAGGAGTATCAAACACACACAAAAAAGAATAGTTGCAGATAAAGTTAAAAGTTACAAAAAACTCAGGTTAATAATTTTGAGGTTAAAAAATTTGTTCAGACCACATCGACCACCCATCATTCCAGGCATGTGTGAATAAGCAAGAACAGGTTTTATTTCAGATTGAAAAACAAGTGGCTGTCCCACAGGCAAATAATTAGTCAAGTAATTCATTTTATTGACCCAGGGCACTTCCCTGAGAGAGCAAGTGCAATGCAGGTGGTCTCCATCATTATATATATTGTACTAGTAGACATGTGTGGGAGGTGGTGTGGGTTGTACAGGTATTGATCAGGACTATCTCCTGGACATTAATGCATTATTACATAAATTCATATATCAACACATTGATGAAACAAGAGCCTGCTCGTTGAGCCTTTTCCAAGTTGCTTACACCCTATTTAGATAGACACATCAAACTAGTTGGGTCAGTCCAAGACTGTGGGGGATTCTGGTTAAATGCAATCAGTGGAATTTGCTTAATTGCATGACATGCCTCCTTCAACAGCTAGGGGTTAATTGACTTTTTTCTAGCTGCTTGAGAGAGCCTGTCATTCAGTTAAGCTGATCCCCTGAAGAGTTGGACCGTCCTTCCTAGTATGGTGTGTCTATCTGAATGCTTCCTTAGTGTCTATAGTGGCTAAGTGAGTGTTCAGATTCATGGGCCACTGTCATATCACTTTAGTGTTATATGATGTCATCCAGTAAGTACATTCATTCACATGTAATTTAATTGTTTTAAGATAAGCAGTATGTCTATGTACTGAATACTCCACTCTGAACAAGAATATTTCCAAGGATCTTTCCAAGGATTGCAAAGAATAACTTCAAATTAATAAATATATATATGTATATATATATATCTTCCCAAGGATCAACTCAAATTCCACCACATATCTTTGTGCATTGTCAGAGAGTCTATTGAACATACAAACATTATACACCAAGCAAAATGAGAATATGAAACCACTCGCTATGAATATATATATATCTCTTTCAAACAACTTTTCAAACTTACAATTGTTTAGCAGAAACCCAAAACTATGCGTGAGCAAATTTCAATGGGTATATACTTACAACCATTTCCAAGTAAAGTAATGATAGATTAAATTATTTTTTCTTTGCAAAACATGATTATCATGTACCTAACAGCAAGAAATTAATCTAATCGATCTGTTGTCCCACCCACTAACACTGCAACTGTGGGAGTCACACACCTT